AAGATACATTTGGGCTTTGCTGGATGAAGCAGCACTGTGGAATACCCACACTTGGAAGGGAAGTTTCCTACCCTACCCTACTGGCATTTGACAAAGCTTTTAAGGTCTTCAAGGAATTTAATGTACTCCTGGTGCTCCAGTGCAGTGCTGAGCTCTATTAACTCGTCAGCAAATGTGTTGTCCACTCCTCTGTCAGCCAGGAAATCCATCAAGTGATCATAGAGAGCCTGGAACCAAGGAACAGGAAACTTCCTTAACAGAGGGCACCTGCATAGGGGCTCCTTTTAAAACGTCCCTGGGATGTTCTAGAGTACACCAACCAATTTTAACACGAGTGCTTCCCAGAGGGATCCACTCTAGGAATATTAAGTTTGAACTATATGACAGACAGCCACAAACTAAAAATTTAAGCTTCTGAAAGCCTGGCATTGAGAACATAACAAGCAGATGCCAGAGCCTTGGGGATATTAATGTTTAGTGTTAAAACTGTAACAACACACCTGGAAAACCAGGACACAATGTGGCTTATCAGATACCCCCCACGGGTGTCTTTATCTACACATGGTATCTGATAAGCTACATTGTTAAACAAATATAAGTCAAACATGTGGATCAAAAGATGCTGAGTGAGTGCCAAAGTGCCTCCAATGTTGAAATCAGCCTATAAATTGGGGAACAGAAGGAAATCCACGTTTGTGTCTGGAATGTCACTGGCACTGCACGGCCGTGGGACCAGGTAACAACCCCCAGTCTGCAGCAGAACCCCCCATGGAAAGCTCAGCAGAGCAGGGAAATCCTTCTCTCAGACATCCACTTTCACTCCCAGCTCAGGAGGCAAGGGACAGAGTTCCCTCTGTAGCCTGTTGGCAGCACCTACCCAGTCCAGGGAATCCGTGTTGAGGGTGTAGTTGGTGTCCTTCCAGTCGGACTCTCCGGTGGGCTGGAAGCTGACCTCCCGAATGGTGAAAATGTCACTCTCCTCCTCCCCTTCGTGCCCAATCTGGAACAGGAAAAGAGATGTAAGACATACAATGAGCTCCAATTACTGGGCACGCTCAGCCAAACCCATCCTGAGGCTGGGAATGCTGCAGGCAAACCCCAGGGCCAGACAAGCTGTGCCTCTCCCCTCTCCACACGTGCCTGTGAGGACAAGCACAGACACCCAGGAGAACACAGGGAATTCCCTGAGCTCCAGATGTAAATCAACAGCCTGAATTTTACAAACAAATAAAAACCTCTGTGGTTCTAAATCTGTCTTGCCACTGATGCCTGTCTCACCCCTGTCAGCCAGGACTGGCTGCAGAAATACCTGTTAATATTTACAAAGCAAACCACAGAGTTCAGCGTGAACATTTTCATTTTCTTTCCACCTTTTGTTTAATCCCCACTTCTCCTTGTGACACCTCACAGCACTGAGACTGGCAAGTTACTGACACACTGTATTAAATCACCTCTTTTTGCCATTCCTGCTCACCCCTCCCAAGCTGCCGTGATTTCAGCCCTGCCTCCCTGCTCCAATGTAATTCAATAAACAGCCCAACAAGCAGCTGATCAGAAACACCAGGGCAGGATGTGAGGAATGCCATGGAACATCTCTCCAAACAGTGTTCTTGCAAACATAAAACCTTTTTCTTTTTGGGGTTAAAAAACCCCCCAGAGATAAGAGGAGAGTGCATACTGTGCAGATTCAGAAAAGCAAGAGACTACAAAGACCAGTTAGACCCCAAGGGGGGCACAGCTACCCCACGGTCAGGCAGGAAATGTGAGCAAGTCCCAGCCCAGAGGTGACACACAGTGATACCCACCTCATCCTCGGGGTAATGGCAGTCAAGAACAAGGGTCTGCTTTGTGTCATCCTTTATTACTTCCACAACAAAGTTTGGAGTTGATGTAAGTTCAGGCTAAAAAAGAGAACAGTTGAATCAGCACTGGAACCTGAAGAGCTGATGCAATCACAGCACAACCACACAGCCCATCCAGCAGAGATTATTCCCTCATGCCTTCCACTATCCCAGGTTGCTGCAGTCCCCGTCCAACCTTCCTTGGACACTTCCACGGATGGGGCAGCCACAGCTTCTCTGGGCAACCTGTGCCAGTGCCTCACCATCCTCACAGGGAAGAATTTCTTCCCAATATCCCATCTAACCCTGCCCTCTGACAGTTAAAAGCCTTCATCTTGTTGCTCCATGCCCATGTCCAAAGTCCTCCTCCAGCTCCCCTGTAGCCTCTTTAGGCACTGGAAGGTGCTAGAAGGTCTCAGAGCATCTCAAATTTCTCTTTGTAGAGCCTTCTCACCCTGCTCTGATTTCCTGCAGCAAAGAGGAAGGTCACGGCCAAGTGACAGGCAGGCCTGAAAAACCTGCTTAAAGCTCCCAAATACCAACTGAGGAGGGCAAAAAGCCTCAACACTTGAGGGAAAGATTCCAACTCCCCTCTGATCCCTTCACTGAAGGGCACACCAAGGTCAAGTTACCTCCTGCTCATCAGGTTTCTGCCCTTCTTGTGTGTCGTCTTCAGCAGAGGGTGGGATGCTGTTATTGATGTTGAATGTAACCGTTATCCTGCAGAAAGAAACACAAACACTTAGCTTGAACCAAAAAAACCACCCACCAGAGTGGGCATTTGAAGCTTTTGTTCAGAATTCACACAATGTGAGCAAAGGGAGTTAAAGACACACCCGGGAGGAGCTGCTCCCTCCAAGTGCTCTCACAAACCACCTCCACGTTTTACTGAACTGTTATTTTTCACGCAGGAAGACTCAGTGAAACTTTGTAACACGAAATACAAACTGGTGGGGGAAAAAGTGCCTTTGGCATCGAAGTGGCAAAATGAAGGGCCTCTGCACCACCCACTGTGGGGCACGAGCACGTGGAGAACCCCAGGCACTGGGAATGGGCCATTCCCAAATCCCACTCACTTTTCCCCGGCGATCTTCCGCACCAGTTTGGCCTCCGTGCCGTGGACCTCCAGCTCCCAGCCCCCGGAGATCTTGGGCAGGGACTTGTGCTTCTGGATCTTCTTCTCCTCCTTGATCTCATCCGTCAGGAACTGCGCAAAGGCTTTGTCTCCTGGCGGGGAAGGAAAAGGCTATTAGGGAAAAGGGGGGATTTGGGAAAGGAGGAGTTGGGAAAGGAGGGTTAGGGAAAGAGAGGGTAAGGCAAGTTAGAGAAAGTGTTAAAAAAAAGGGGAGGGAGAGTTAAGGAAAAGGGGGGAGCTAGGGAAAGGGAGGTTAATAAAAGGGTGGGGATAAGGAAGGGGGGTTGAGGAAAAGGTGTGGGTTAAGGAAAGAGGGAAATTAGGGAAAAGGGAGCTTAGGGAAAAGTGGGGCTTAGTGAAAGGGGTGTTGGGAAAAAGGAAGTTAGGGAAAAATGGGGGTAGAAAAGGGGGGACTAGGGAAGGAGAGGGTAGAGAGTGGGGAGGGAGGAAGGCAAAGGCGGGAGTAGGGAAAGAAGGGGTCAGCGTAAAGAGGGGTCAGGGAAATGGGGGGTTTAGGGAGAACGAGAGTTAGGGAAAGAGGGAATGGGGTTCGGGAAAGGGGCTGTAGGGGAAAGAGGAATGGGTGCCAAAGCCCCCCCGGCCCCACGTGCTGCCCGGGCTGTTGGGGCGGGGGGGGGCGCGCACGTGTCCGCCCCGCGCCCTCCCAAGGGCGGCAGCTCCGTCCCCCCCGCAGCCCTCCCCGCTCACCCTCGCTGTGCAGCCCCCGCTCACCCTCGGTGTGCAGCCCCCCGCAGCCGCAGGACACGCGGCCGGCCGAGCCCCGCCGCGGGCGCAGCAGCGCGGTGCGCCCCGCGCCGCCGCCCAGCTGCCACAGCGAGCGCGCCGGGGCGGGCGCGGCCAGCGGCGCGGGCAGGAGGGCGCGGGGCAGCGCGGCCCAGAGCCGGCGGCGGGGCGCGGGCAGCGGCGGGCGCAGCGCGGACACGGCGCGCAGGGAGCGGGCGAGCAGCATCGTGCGGGACGCGGCGCGGAGCGGAGCGGACACCCCGCCCCGGAACCGCCCCGGAACAGCCCCGGCCTTCCGGCCCCGGCGGGCCCCACGCGGCGCTGAGGACGCGGGTTCGAGTCCCGGCCCCCGGTAGGAAGCGACGGGACAGCACATTCCTGGGATACCGTTCCAATGGAAGGGGAGGGGATGGCACGAGAGAGCGAGCGGCCGTCACTGCGGTGAAAACGCAGGGGGAACTTTAGGGATGTAGGAAACATGCCCAGGCTTCATCTCAGATATGATCCCACTCCTCTATTTTTAATATTATATATTAAAAAATATATATATTAATGTATATGTGTATGTATATTTATATATATGTGTATATTATATTTAGACATATTTTATATATTTTATATATTTATGTGTAGATATGTGTGTGCATATGTCTCTATAAGTATACATATTTATACATGTTTTATATAGTTCTATATATTTACAGGAATATACTTATATATGAAAAGTCATATATATATATACTTGAATAATCATAGATATGAATATAGAGATATATATTGAATATATAGAGATTATATGAACTGTCAGTGTTCAGGCCAGGCCGTGCCAGCCGCCTCAGAAAAAAGAAAAATAAATGTTTTTGCTCCTTTAGCAATGAATATTTTAGAGGGAAGGTTGACCAAGGCAATGTTTCCTGGCATAAAGTGTTCCCTTTGTCCGAAGGCTGTTGAGAAGCACAGAAGGCCCACTCGGTGCTCTCTGCAAGGCTGGAGCAGGAGAGCAGCGACGCCACCACATCCCATAAGGACTGTCCCACCCCAGCAAAGCACTGGAATGTTTAACTCCCACTCCCCAGAGGTTTGAACACTGCACCTGTGATGGCAGAGTCCATCCTGCACACCGAGCACAGAGTCACTGACCCACGGCCACCTCTCTTTAACCTCACGCTGCTGAGGATGAACACGCTCCCTCAGAACTGAAACCACCAGGGCTGGTCCCTGAGTGCCCCACCACGGTTTGTTCATCACCTTTTGTATCTCACAAAACCAACACAGCAGGATTCGGATTCTTGCAATAACTTCTTTATCCTGCAGGAAAATAAAAAATATAAATCCATCCTGAATAGATACACTTAAATTACCCCACCTGAACAAAACGTGCCCATCCGTAAATTCACTAAAAAGTACAAAAATAAGTCTTTTAAGGCAAAACTGAAAGCCCTGAGCCTGCTGGCTGCAGAGCCAGGGGTCAGTCCTTGGCTGTCCGGAGTTTCCTGCGGAAGTAGTCGGGAGCAGCCTCGTAGAGCCAGTCGGCGTCCACCAGGCACAGGTCCCGCATGTAGCAGCGGTTGGTGCGGAGCAGCCCGTTGAACACCACGCAGGAGGGCCGGCAGTGGAACAGCACCGAGGAGGGGTGGATGGCCACGGCCTGGTGCGAGTCCAGCGTGCGGTAGGTGCCGTCCGGCTGCAGCTCCGCCGCGTTCATGAACAGGCTGTGGGCCAGGCAGCGCCGGACATTCCCCGTGTCCGAGCGGGACGACTCCAGAGGAACCGACAGCTGCTCGGAGAGACACAGTGACACCAAAAACATGGATTCTTTTACTTGTTTCATCATTTGCATTAGAGTAGGGGTCTCTTGAGGGTCTCTGGGGCACAGTCCTTCCTCAAATTACCCTTTTCTGGTCACGGGTCTCAAAAAACCCAGTTTTTTCCCTTTGAATGCAGCTCAGCTCTGTGGCATGGCCAAGACAGACAGAACCACAGAACAGGCCAAGCTGGAAGGGACCCACAAGAATCATCATGTTCAACCCTCAGCCCTGAACAGGGCCATCCCCTAGAGTCCCACCCTGTGCCCCAGAGGATCATCCAAACCCTCCTGGAGCTCTGGCAGCCTTGGGGCTGTGCCCACTGCCCTGGGGAGCCTGTTCAGTGCCAACCACCCTCTGGGGGAAGAGCCTTTTCCTAAATCCAACCTCATCCTGACCTGACACAACTTCAGGCCATTCCCTGGGGTCCTGTCACTGTTCACCACAGAGCAGGGCTCAGGGCCTGCCCCTCCTCTGGCCCTGACAAGGAAGTTGTAGACTGTGATACCTTCTTATCAGCCTTGTTCAGGCTCAAGGCTTTAAGATACCCACAAGGCTTTAAGATACAGGACTAAGCACTGTCCGCTAAAGCAAAAGGAATCCACAGGACTAAAGCACTCTTTGTTACAATTACAGATCTTCCCAACAACAGGAATGAGCAAGCACAGCCCCACTTCAGTGGGCTCTGAGATCAGGCAGCATTGCTCAGAAATCCTGCTGTCACCAAAAATCAGGAAACAAACCCTCCAACCAGTTTGTTAGGTTAGAAAGCCAACATTATTAATGGTGCTGGCTGCATCCATAATGGTGCTGACAGCTCCACAAAGCATGCACACCCAGCAACCTAAACCACCAGGTTAAATTCATGGCACTAATATACACTCATCACATTCTTATTACTTATTTATTACATTTCCTGAATAATGCATATATGCTAATTATTTCTGCAAACTTATTTGGATATTTGCATATGAGTAGGGGTTTTCTGAGGGTCTTCAGGGGTCATTTGTGAACACCCATTTCCCAAATTTCCCTTTAACAGCCCCAGATCTGATGAATCTTCTTTCTCTGGGAGAATCTCATATGTCATAATGTACCTCTCTTATCTTTTTGCTCTGCCACAGAAACCCTTGTTCTCAAAACTAAGACATCTGCTAGTACATATTAAAATAAAATATTAAAATATTTTAAGAAATTTGTACTCTCCCTGAGAAGCCTTCCCAGAGCTCCCTGTGTCTCTTCACCTCTCCTCGACCCATTAAGCCCCTGCAGCTCTCAGATTCTGGGATGCAACTCCACAGTCAGAAGTTTTACCTGACCATTCCTGGAAGACTGAAAACAAACCCACATTTTCTTACTCCCGGGACTTGCTGCACAGGGACATCAGGAAACATGTAACAGGAAAATATAAACAGGTGAAACAGAAGCACAGCAAGTCAGCAAATTACCTTTACACAAATGTCCCTGAGCTGAGCTCTGACTTCTGCCATCAGCCTCATGTTCCTGCCGTTGATGAAGTTCTCTTTGCACCATCCCTGCAGTGGAGACGCCAGGAGTTAGAAGGGGACATTTCTTCACCCCAGCAGCATGACAGCCATGAAAAGCAGGATCTCCCCATACAATCTGTCATATTTCTACCCCTGATTAGTCCCCTCTGTTTAGATTCCCTCCCACAGTGCTAAGAAACAGCAAATCAGGTCAGAGTGAGAGATGCTGCAAGGAATGGGGTACACCAACCCACAGACCCACAAATCAAACTGAGGAGCTGACAGGGCAGGATAAATCCAAATCTGCTCGTAGGTATGCTCAGTATTTTGCAGTTAATTCTGTCACAGAGCATGTCTAGGTATTTATCAAGTCTCAACACTCTTCCTCCTGCTTCGAGCTGGAACCAGGGAAGGAAGAGGGAAGGAATCTGGCTCTGATTACAGAAGGGGTCTCACAAAGCTCTGATAACCAACTACAGCTTTCTGCAGGAAACTCTGGCACTTGAACAGCTTCCCCCCATTCCCCAGCTGTAAAGGATGAGTCCTCTTTCCTCACAGCTTTGGGGATGCCTGTTGCACCAGCCAGGGAGGATGCAGGTATTCCTCTGTCCTGTGCCCAAAGCTCCTCGCCCCCACAAGCCCAGACAGCACTGGTACCCTCAGAGCATCTCACCTTGTTCCCATTGACACTCTTGAAGGCCCTGTACACGTTGAGCAGGGTCAGATGATCCCCCTCACTGGAGATGAATTTCTTCCTGGCAGCTTGCACTTCATCCCTCTGGGCAGGGGGGTTGTGGAGGACACTGTCCACCGACAGCAGCGACACGATGCTCAGGATCTCCTCGGCACAGTGGAACTTGGGGGACAGGAGGATGGCCTGCAAAGCACACCACACAACTCATTCTGGGTTGACCAAATTCACTTCATATGGGTAGACTTTTCTCCTCCATGGCAAGACAGGAACTCTACCAAACATTGCTCAGGACAATTCCATAAACATCTGGAACTAGGGATAACTGTAAATCCTTCTGGGCCCACCAAGAATCTTTCAACAGCAGTTGCCATGCTCTTTCCTGAGACTGGCCAGTGCATATTCAGTACAAACACAGTGACTGAAATCAACTACAGCAGCAGACACTTCATGGACCTGCTAAACAATCCTGGAAACTGTGAGGAAATTCACCTCCTTTCAGCTTCAGAGGTGCCAGAGAAAAGAAACTCTCTTTCAAAAAAACCTCCCCGAATTAAACAACAAATAACAAGCAAACCAACACAAGGGCTGTAAATAATGTGCATTAATGTACAGCAAATACACCAGTACAGCTCCAGACACCTGAAATTCCACACCTTGTTGAAGCAGTTTGAAAGAGAAATGCCAAAATTACCAAGATGAGTACATGAGATAAACATCAGCTGATTTGTCTGCGGTTTTTACCTTAGAGAACTTTGGATCCAGAGGAAAAGCTGCCATTTTCTTTCCCAGGGGGGTCAGGACAAGCTGCCCTTCCTTTTGTGTCACAGCTCCCAGCAGGTCCAGCTGATCAATCGCTGCTTGAATGGCCTCTGCCAGAACAAGGACATTGGAGCTGAGAGGCTCCTGCCTCTCCCTGATGGATGGGAGGGATCACCTGGTACCACCACTGCCTCCTCCCCTGGCCAGAGGGACAAGCACTTTCCATTTAGAGAAATCAGAGTCAAAAAATGTGGTTTATCCTCCTCCACCCAGGAGAACAAGCACTCTTTCCCATTTGCCCTGGCAGTGAAGACACACCTTTTTGTTCTTTATGACTCAAAACTGCTCCCTACTCTTTTTTACCCCTAAGGCTGCCTTTGTAACCACTTACCAGGAGATGGTTTGGACATGAAATCAAAGGTGAGAACGTTGGGAATTTTCAGGGCCAGGAGATGAAGCACCACACTGGCCAAGTTACACCTGCAGAGGCAGAAAGAACAACTGGGATGGTTCTCTTCTTTTTAAGTTTTAATTATTTTTTAATTTTATTTCCCTATTAGCTGATGAAGAGTCAACAGGTCTGTGCTGTAACTTGACAGAGACTAGTGTGATGCTGCTGGTGAAGCCCTACTTAGTAAATTAGGAAGAGGTGAGTCCAAGATTTGGAGGACAGTCAAAAGAACTATTGCCCTGTGTGTTTGGAGACTCAGTGCCCATCTGTCCACCCTGAGCAAACAATTCCTAGATGTTCTGCTTAGTCTCTACACTTCATTTTTCTTAGCCCCTAGATCCAGTTTTGCTGCTCAGTTCTGCACACAGCCCCGGCTGTGAGAGCGCAGCAAAGGGGTGTGGGCAAGTTGTGTCCTCACCTCTGTATCTCAGGGGTTGTCATTTCATCAAACTTCTCGAAGTCCTCCTCTGTGTAGAGCCTGTAGCAGATGCCGCTTTGCTGCCGCCCTGCTCTCCCCGTGCGCTGCCAGGCCTGGGCCTTCGACACCTGCTGCACTGCCAGCACCTCCAGACCAGTGTCTGTGCATGCAAAAGCATCACTTCAGTCAATGCACAGCTCGGAGAAATGTGGAGGGTTAACAGTAAAGATTTTGCCACCCAAATACTGCTCAGAGTTTGCCTGGTTTAGCTTCTGAAGCACAGCGAATTATCCCGCGCTGTGTTCGTGAAGAGAAGATTCGTATTTGATGGATTTTTACCCCCACATGGCTGATAATAATAAAAAACAACCAACCAACCAACCAACCCACCCCATAAAAAACCCAAAAGAAAACAAAAAAACCCAACCACCAAACCCCACACCCAAAACTTGTGACATTCATTCAGACAGCACAGAGGGAGTTTGAAATCAGCTCTCAGTGGGGCTCACGGCCTCCAGGAACACGTACAAACCCAAACCCAATCTCTGTGCTGCTCCTCAGAATTCCTCACCAGGACTGTACTTCTTGGCTTTGACCATTCCTGTGTCCAGCACGAATTTTATCCCCGAAATGGTGATGGAGGTTTCTGCAATGTTGGTGGAGAGGATCACTTTGCGACAGCCCTGCAAGGAAGGACGAGTTAAACCCAGCCCAAATCCACCTCAGAGTAGCTGCAACAAAGAAATGCTGCTGCTTTTGGCCAGTGTAGGCCAAGCCTACCTAACCCTGCAGCACATTGTGCTTGCTCTGCCAGCTCTCATAAATTAAAATAATCTCCATTTTCAGACTGGTTTCCAAAATATGTGCTTACACTTGCAACAAAACCCACCACCAGAACAGCTGTTACCAATATATCTTTATCAACAATTTTGGTTTCATTTCTGGATGAGTAGGCACAAGAGCTTGAGGCAGCACAATTCCCTTTTCTTACAGCCCTGACAAAGGTGCCCAGGTTTTCAGCTTACTATTTCCCCCATTAACTGCTGCAGTTTTTTGTGATATGGACATAAAATTCCTATGAAATGGGTCAAATTTTGATTCCTCTGCCCTTTTCACTCCCTATAATCCTTCCTTCTTTTCATGATCAGATGCACCTGTTAATACCATCACTGTCTTACGTCACACTGGACCCATTCAGCCCAAAGTCAGTGGACAGCAGGGACTATTGATGTCAGCACAGATTGCTCTAATGCCTTAAATTCCATGTTTTTTCCACTCAGGCAAGCAAACAAACTGCCCCTGTTCACCCACCATATTCCCTCACCTCAGGGGTGGGTTTAAAGGCACGGAGTTGCTGAGGGTGGGGCAGAGAAGCATAAAGAGGCAACACCATCATTTGTGGGCAGCCCTCGGGGAGATGCTTGGAAATGTCTCGGCAGGTTTTGGTCATTGCTTCGATTTCTTCCTGACCAGTCAGGAAAACCAGGATGTCCTGACATGCAGGTGCTTCCTGGAGCCAGAGGAAAAAGAAAGTTAGGAGGGTTTGGGTAGGGAAGGAGAACTGGGATGATAATGAGATGTGGTCCTGGCAGCAAGTCAGCAAAGCAGGTAAGGCAGAAAGAAAAGACACCTATGTGGTGTCAGGCAGGCAACACAGAATCATGAGTTGGGACACATCAGGATCCTCAAATCCAATTCCTGGCCCTGTGCAGGACATGCCAAGAATCACATCACGTGCCTGACAGCTTTGTCCAAACAGCCTGAATTCCCAGCGGATTCACCAGAGGTGAAGAGTAAATCACATTTTGTGGGACTGAGTCTTAACAGGATGGAGGAAATGCAGTGCCATTAAACAACTGTCCAGGACAGGCAGAGTGAATCAGCAACCACTCAGGTCCAGAGCACTCAGGTGAGAACAATGTTCAGGTATTAGGTATGAAACAACATCACAGAGCTTTGCTTAGCGAGCTCCTTTCAGCTCCAGCCTTGATGTGCAGGTCCCAAAATCCCAACAGCAGCAGCATCTTCAAAGCATTAAATGCAGTTTAATTAAATGACAACCCCCCTGGCAGGTTGGCAGTCAAACATCCTGGCACAAAATGCCAATCCCTGGTCCCAGAGAGACACACACCTGGTGAGATTACCGTACCTGGTGGATCTGGAAGATGGACACCAGTGCTGCCTGGATGTAGTCACTCTGAGGCTCCTTGGTGTAAAAGATCTCAATGGGATGCTGTCTGCCTTCCAAATAGATGACAGGAGCTCCATTGAAGTACTGGGAGAACAGGTCAACATCCATCGTAGCTGACATGATGATCACCTTCAACGGGAGCACAGGATGGGTTAGCACTGCAGTCTCCACCCAGCTGGACACTGGTAAGTCAGGACTAGTCAAAAGTCACCTTCTGGATCCTGAGATCCACGCTCAGAACAGCTAAAAGCTCACAGAGTTTGGGACAGAAGAGGGTGATCTCCCCTTGCTAAAGCCATCAGCTCTTTAACACAAGCATAACATGTTGGTGTGGTATGAGTGAAGATGCGTGAAAATTATTTTCTGACATTGAAAAGAGAGCTGAGTACCCAAAACACAACACATCTTCCATCCTGTGCATGGGGGAGGGAAGCAGGAATGTTTTCCAAGGTTGTAAGAGCCCCAGCAGACAAATCCACTCAAATTCCACACTCCAGCATTACCCAAGGGCCCTGGTCTGCGTTTGTGCTCGTCAATGAATAGGATCAGGAGAGGGGCCCACGAAGGTCTGCAGCGAGCCACAAAGCTGGGCTGTGCAGTGGTGTGTGGAATGAGGCTGTGTGAGGACCCTGCCAGGCCCTACAGCAATCCCAACATGCTCTCACACAAATCCATGACACGTCCAAACAAATGTGCAATGTCCTTTCCAGGAGCGCCCATATCCCACAGCTGTCCCATCAGCCAGAGCTCCCAGAGCGCTCTCAGCAGCAGCACCAAAACCTCCCCAACACCAGGTCTAGTCTAGAGCTCACACCCAAGGGGCTCTGACCGAAAAACAGCGACATGGAGGTGACCAGGTACCTTGTTCAGGTGCCATATCAGGCCCACACGTCATAAATTGGACACCCTTAACTATTCAGATCTAAAAGGACTTTTCAGGAACAGAGAAATGGCCAAGGCTGAAATTCCAACCACTTTGGAAGGTGCTCACAGCACTCAGAGCCCAAGCCCCGCCCTGCCCTTCGCTGCCACCCCAGTTTTACACACTTTGAGTGGCTTCAGGCCCCGTTCCTTCCGTTTCCTTTGGGCAGCTTTCACCACTCCAAAGAGCACATCCGTGTGGATTGTCCTTTCGTGGGCCTCATCCAGGATGACCACGCTGTACTTCTGCAGCAGAGGGTCCCCGATGGCCTCCCGGAGCAGCATCCCATCCGTCAGGAAGCGGATCCTGGTCTCGGCAGACGTGCAGTCGTCGAAGCGCACGGTGTAGCCGACCTGTGGGAGAGACCAGAGAGGACTTACAGGGAGCACCAAGCCTTGCCCTTCCCACTGCCACTGTGCCACAGGGAAGGGCTGCAGAGCCCCCTGCTCACTGCCTGGAGGCCCTGGGAGGCAGAGCAGTGAATTTGCTGTCTGTGAGCTCTTAACCTTGCCAGTATAATAACCCAGCCAAAGGATGCTCCCAGTTGGCTTCTCCCCAACTAGAACTACATCACAAACGCTCCAAGTGTCAGAGAATCACAGAATATGCTAAAATAACCTACCCCATGTTCACCTAATTAATTTATTCATCTCTAGATAAAGTAACCATTTCCTTCCCTTCCTCCCCTGCTAGAGGAGACTCTGTGCTCTCTGAAGGTTTCATGTAAGGGAAAGTCTTTCCACTCCACTTTTCTCTCATAGATTCCCAGACCTGCACAGATTCAGCACTCTGCCCTCCTTGACAGTGACTTTAGACACAGGGAGCAATGGAAGGGAGAGCAATGGGTTTTGTTTTATTCATTAAGCAGTACTTTTTCAACTGGAAGGACACAGATAATAATCAAGAAGTAATAATCAAGAAGTAAGATACCACAGAGACAAACCATGCCTCCCTTCGAGCAGGTAGAGCCATTTTTCTCCATTCATTTAATTATAGAATCAGAGAATGTCCTGAGTTGGAAGGGACCCACAAGGATCATCCAGTCCAACCCATGTCCCTGCACAGACACTCCAGCAATCCCACCCTGTCCCTGAGAGCGTTGTCCAAACTTTCCTTGAGCTCTGACAGCCTTAGGGCTGTGCCCACTGCCCTGGGGAGCCTGTTCAGTGCCAACCACCCTCTGGGGGAAGAACCTTTTCCTGAGATCCAACCTAACCCTCTCCTGACACAGCTCCAGCCATTCCCTCAGGCTCTGTCACTGCTCACAGAGAGCAGGGATTGGAGCTGCCCCTTTGTGAAGAAGCTGCAGGCCCCAATGAGTCTCCCCTCAGTCTCCTCTCCTCCAGCTGGACAAGCTTTTCTCTCCCATCAAGCCCTGATTTGGCCCCATCCACGCTGCAGCACTAAACCATCTCTCTGAAGTCAACCTGCAAACCAACCTACCAGCTTCCCCAGCTCTGTCCTCTTCTCCTCTGCCACTCTGGCAGCCAGGGTGACAGCTGCCACTCTGCGGGGCTGGGTCACAGCAATGAGGCCGGGGTGGCCAATCCCCACCTCGTACAGGTACTGAGGGAGCTGAGTGGTCTTCCCTGAGCCCGTTTCTCCTGAGGAACAACAAGGGAATATGGTGGGTTTTCTTCCCCTTTTATAGCATCATCAAATGAAAGGTTGTGACTCATGTTTTCATGTTTACTTTTAACTCTAATTCAGGAGGGGGAGGCTGAAGGCAGGAAGAGAAAGTCACACCACAAAGCAGTGGCAGGTCAGAGGCAGCACCCAGCGCCCTCCTCTTGCTGCTCCTACAAAGCTCCTTCCACTCCAGTGCTCTCCAGCCACACTGTGGGAAAGAAACATATTCCAGTCTGTCTGGAGATGAAGTGTCTGTGACACAGCCAACACACACAGAGCAAGGACAGACACTGATTTGGGTTATGCACAAATCTACACACACTGGGAAGTGTCTCAGCAAAGTTGGAAGCAAATTAAAGCCAAGCTTTGGTCACAACAGGAAGAAAGGAGTGCAGGCTTGATGGTCCCTCAAGCCCAGGGGAATGTCTTCTCCACCCACACAGCACCAGCAAACAACACAAACATCACCCCACGTATAGCTGATGAGACACTTCTGAAGAGGAGAGTTTTGCCCTCTGGCTTTGACCGAACACCATAAAAACGAAGTCCCCGGCTGCCTCAACCAGCCGAGGCTCACGAATACCGATACTACTCGTTCCCCACACTCCGGAGTGCCCCCGGCGCTCACCGATGAGGACGGCGCTGTCGAGGCGGCGGAGCCGGGCCAGCAGCGGGCCCCGGGCGGCGGCGATGGGCAGCGAGCGGCGCTGCACGTGGGCGGGCGGCGCGTGGCCCTGGGGCTGCGCCGCCTTGAAGCGCTTGGCCGGCGGCCCCTCCCGGTCCCGGTCCCGGCCCGGCGGCCCCTCCCGGGTCGGAGCCATCGCCCCGCTCCCTTCCCGGGGCTCTCCCGGCGCTCCGGCCGGGCCCGTCCCGTCGGGGATACCCTCCACAGCCTCCCCGGCGCCGCCGTGACGTCATCGCGCCGCCGCGGAGCACCACGGGAGTTGTAGTCCTGGCACACCCACGGCGCCGCCGCCATTTGCAGCGCTCCAGAGTCCCGGCGCCCCTCGGGAAAAACCCTTCGGGACCCGCGGAAAAAACAACTCGGGAATAAAAAACCAAAACGTCGGGACCCTCGGTCCACAAACGGCTGGTAAATCCATCCCAAACGGGTAAAGAGCCGCCTGCAGGCAGTGCCTTACAGAGGCAAGGCCGATTCCCAACTTGTCCCAGTAACACCCGTATAAAGGGGTTCTTAAACATCGAACTAAAAAGAACAAAAAATAATAATAAGGTTTTCATCTAATTCCTATCCATCGAACTAAAAAGAAGAAAATAATAATAAGGTTTTAATCTAATTCCTATCTCATAAGCTATGCCAAAGCAACACTGGCCAAAACGCTTTAAGTCTTACTCTCTACAAGTACTAAAAGCCAGCTCTGTAAACAACCAAAACCCCCACAAAACAAATCAGTCCAAAAAACCCCATCCCTAAGAACCACCCCTCAAAACTCCCTTAGGTTCTTATAAACTTTAACAGATAAAAATGCAAGTGGTCTCACCCATTTTGTTATCAGGCTCTAAACACTCTGCTTGTGGACAAAGCATTTCCCCTGAGGTTCCTGCATGTTCATGCCCTGGGCTGTGAACAAGTTAAAACCCACAGCCAGTTTTTAAAAACTACAAAATCTGAGAATAAATGAGATAATCACATGTGTTGGGGCAAGCCCATTCTCCAAAATTTAGGAGGAAGATGCAGCTTCAATCCTTTTTCTATCTATTACGATGTAATCAATAGAACCCCACCCAGACCAGTCCATAAAATTTAGCAACAGTTGAGCTCCAAATTCCTTACGTGGCTCCTCAGAGATATTTATAATCAAGACAACTTTCAGCTAAATCCCACTCGGTGTCACTGGCCTGCACTGGACACATGTGCCACCCCAAACTTCATACACAGACCCCACATTTCACATCCTGAGCACACAATCCTGTTTCCTGGAAAGGCCTTCCACTAACCCTGCCCCTTCAAGGACTTGCTTTTCCCAGCCTCTGCTTTTTCACTGCTGCCTCAAGACCAGGGGATTATACAAAGGATTAACCAAAAATTATCCACAAGACATTTTATTCAACTCAGCATCTGAGATACTCCAAGCAGTTCTGGCTCCAGACAAGTTGTGCTTCCCCCAGCGCTGCTGGTCATTTAATACCTGTGAGCAGTGGGCACGTGTGGGGGTGGATTTTGGAGACCCACCGGTCAGACTCACACCTGGGCACCTGAAAAGCCACCAAAATGCCATCTTGGCTGGCAGAACATTCCAGAAACCCAAGTGGCAGAGGGGAAAAGCTGCGTGTTGTATTCCTTATGATTCAAAGATGACTGGAGACAACAGCACCTCAGATTAAAAAAACCTTTTGCCATTGAAATAGTGACTTAGACTTTCAACTGTCTTGTAGTTGTTTTATCCAAGAATAAAAAAGCGAGTTAAAACCCAAAAAGTTGGGTTTGTCCCCTGTAAAGTTTCCCAGAGAGTTTCATGTATCAAATAACTTGAAAAAAATGCTTTAGAAATCACTTTGAACAAGTACTCGTGGTCTTATTAACTGAAGCTGACAGGAAACGGTTTCCAGTTTTAAATTTTTGGCTCCACTGGATTAGATTACGTCCAGCACAATAAATTCCCCGACTGGGAAGGACGCTGGAATTGTCTTGGATGAGACTGCCATTTCATAAAGTGCTTGTCTTCAAAACCATAGAGCTGTCAGAAAGTGTCCTTTCTGTGGTGGGGCAGGAGGGTGCCCCTGTGGGCCCTGCCCCGGGCCGGTCTGTCCCAGGGGTGGTGGGATTTTGGCACAGGCACCGATTTACCCTCCGAGCCGTTGACCTTCTCCCCAGGCAAATCCTCCTGGCCGCTCCTCTGGCAAGGGGTTGTAATTAGGATCCTCCTCTGGGGTGTCAAATATTGCTTTCCTGGAAAACATAAAAGGTTTCTTAACTTCCCCCTTAAAATGTTTCACAGTGAGGACGAAACTGCTCAAATTCTGCACGTGGAAGAGTGTCCTCCCTCAGGAACAGCACTGGGATTTACACCCCAGCCACACTTGCTCTCCAGTTCACTGGGGAGAAGGTTCAGCATTGGGTGTCCAAAGCTGAGGAGGTTCAGCTTCTGACTCAGGATATTCTAGGATTCTATAAAATGATCATCACAGCCATTCTGGGAGAGCCTCTGCACAAGAGGGAACTGAGCAGGAGCAGCACCACTCAACACAATAAACCCTGAAGAGGTTTTTCTCCATAATTCTGAAGTGAGGATGACTTACAGAGAAACTATGAGGTATCTTATATGTAATACCTCAGTCTGTTCACACCCAGCAGCTTTGGTGCCACCACAGGCAAAGCTCAGCCAGCAAAGCCAAAGAAACCAGAGGGAAAACCCTTTAGCCCTTCTCCCAAATTAGCTCCCACTCACACAAATGCCAGATCCTCCTCCCTTGTTTGGCAACACAAGTTCAATAAAAAAATCAGCTACAGCCACGCCCCAATTCTGCCTCTGCCCAACTGACCAGAAGCAGATGTGACTGGGTGACACACAGTTTTCCAGACAAGCACTTTTTCCGTGTCTGTTCCAAAGCAGTCACCAATACTCACAGGACAGATGGTGTTCTCAGCAGCCTCCCACCACCAGGCTGATTGGGAAAGACATCCTCTAAGAAAAAATAAATGTGCCCAACAGCAATGCCTGGCATTAAAACAAAAGCCAAATGGTGATTTTTCAGTATTTCTCCTTCACAACTTTCAAGTGCTTCACTAGAGTTCTCAGGAAATTAAAACACACCTTGGTTCTTTCAGAGAAAATATTATGATATGGAGATACAAAACCCAAGGAAGCAACCTAACATCAGCTGAAAAGCTTAACTTACGGTATAAAATGTTAATACAAGGAAAACTGCTTGCCATTACTAAACATACTGATGTTTGGGCTTTATTAGTTGATAAAATAGTAATATAAATTATTTTACTTCAGCAGACTGATGCTACAATCAGATGATGCATCAGGGCTGATTCCAGGCAATAAAAAGCCAAAGCATCAGAAGCTCTTTCCATCCTTGTGATGGCACAGAACAGGCTACAATGTTTAGAAATCAGAAAAGCCTGGTATAAACACACTCGATGAACTAACATCAAGTATTAGGGCATTTAGCCCTTGGATTTTTCCACATTTGGTGCTTCACCTAAAACATCAGGAGGAGCAGATCCTTGTGCTTCTTGCCACTGCTTACCCAGGAGATCCACAATGATGGAGTTCCCCAGAAGCAGTGAAAAGCCCATCAACACCCAGGGGAGAAACGGGGCTTGGAAGATGAGGAGCCCGAAGAAGTTCATGCGGACGTAGGGATTGCGGCGGCTCCAGACGTACACCAGCATGATGGTGAACGCCTGGCCCAGGAAAACCAGGTTCACAAACAGCCCAAAAAGCTGGCATGGATCATTAAGGAAACAGTTATGAGGTCAAGCACGAGAGGGAGTTCACAGCTTAGCCTGTAATCCCATGTTTTCCACGCAGTCGGTAACTTCACCTTCCCAGGTTCGCGTGGATCAAATGCTGGGTGGGGTACCTGCAGCATGAATAACCTCATTAAAGTATAATTTAATTTATCAGAGAGAACCTGAGCATGATTGAACACCTGAGCAGTCCCCTGAGAACCTCACTTCAATGGTTAAGCAGTAAAAACCAGCAACAACCACCTTAACCGACGCTGTTGTTCCCTGTACGACAAACAAAATGCATTCATCTAAGAATTAAGATAAAAGATTAAAATCACGGTTTCAGTTCTCACTCACACATCTTTCGCTTTACCAGAGGAGTTTGGAATCGAAACAAAAAGGATACAGTCATTAAAAATCCTCCAAAAAGGAACATAAATACAAAATCTGCCGTCCGACCCCGGAAAGAGCCTTCCTCGAGCATGCGGCAGTACCGGTATCTGAGGCCACAGGTCAGGAAAATCTCATGGCAAATCAGTTTAAAGACAGATCCAAGAGGAAAAGGAATCAATTTTACATCACCTTAAAACTTTTTTATTCGCTCACTGCATCAATCAGCTCTTTCTGGACACCTCAGCAGAGAGGGCGACAAAGAAATTACCTGGAATTTTTGCCTGTACGGCAGCACCAACCTGAAGGTTCAGGTTTGTGCGAGTCTTAACACCACAAAAACAACTGGAAAAATTCCAAGGAAGGAGATCCCGTGAATTCCCAACCATGGCACCAGTGAGGCTGGCATTGCTGCACTCCAGGGAATTCCATGGTGAGGCAGAACTGAACCTCTGCCCGTGTCCAGCAACATTCCTGCACTCCAGAGCTCTGCTCGCCCAAGGGGACCCAACCAACACCACGAAGGATACAAAAAGATCATGTTAAATAAAAAATTAAAGCCAACTGGTCCAAAGAATAAGTAGTTTGTGATTAACCTCCATATCTGGAAATAAGACAAATACAAGGACTTTAAGCGTGACAGCTTGTGTTTATTGTCTAAACAGATAAGAGAGTAACAGTGGAACTGAAATCTCCTTTACAGACAATTTTAAGACCTGTGCCAGGGTACAGTGATTTGCAGCTTTTCAGTAGCTTTTTTAAAAGTATATCTCTGATGCAAAAAGCCTTAACACCCAATTCTGAGAAGACAAGCACTTCCAAACTCTACAGTGTACTTTTAAAACCTCCCACGCTTCAGAGAACACTTACTTGAAAGTGCTTAAATATTAACTCGGGGTTGAAATACAGCTGGAAGGGCGTGATAAGTTCTAATTGCTGAAAGAGAAGAGAACATTTCGACGGGATCAATACAACAGAAATAACAGAAAAAATAAATACACACCCGATCGCCAGTAACCCCTTCCTCTGTGCCAGGAAGAGCCCAACAAGTCCTCCATCAGCACAGCGAGCTCTGTGGCGAGTGGGAACCTTGATATTCCTACACCCCCCCGCGTTGTTGTTGTTTATTTGCGTTCTGCACCTTCCCGGGGCGGGTACTGGGGATCCCCTCGCTCGGGGGGGAAGCCCTGATGGGTCCAGACTCGGCTGCCCCTCCCACGGCCCCGAGCGCCCAGAGAACCCCACCCGGCTCCCGCTGCCCCTCACGACCTCCCTCCCGGGCACCCTCCCGCCCCGCTCCCCGCGCCCCTCCCCGCCGCTCTCCCCCGCGCCCCGTGAGGCGGCGCGGCCCCCCGGGGAGTGCCCGTGGCCGCGCACTGACCACGGCGGCGGTGGTGAGGACGCAGGCCGTGGTGTAGGCCCGCGTCACGGGCGGCACCTGCAGGTACTCCTGCCGGAACGTCTGGTACGCCATCTTGGCGCCCCCGCCCCGCCCCGCCGCCCTCAGCGCCCGGCATGACGCTCCGCGCCCCCATTGGCCGAGACGCCCGAACCCGCGCTGCCGCTGCGCGCTCCCATTGGTCGAGGCGCCAGAGCCCGCCCGCCGCTCCGCGCCCTCATTGGCGCGCGCTTCGCCCGCCGGGCAAAGGGTCGGAGCGATCGGTGATTGGGTGGTGCCGGTGCCCGCGCGGGCGCTGATTGGCTGCGGGTGGGGACGCCCTGAGGGGGGAGTTTGAGCGAGGCGGGAAACGGCGGAGGCGGCAGCGCCGGGATCGGGATCGGGATCGGGATCGGGATCGGGACCGGGATCGGACACCGGGCACCACACCGGACACCGGGACCGGGCACAGCCTCGGTCTCCACACCGCGCTCGCTCCGCAGCCCCCGAGCGGCAGGGCCGGCCCCGCTGCCCCGGTAGCGGCCCCCGGCTCCCCTCAGCCATGTCGGTGGACCCCATGGCCTACGAGGCGCAGTTCTTCGGGTTCACTCCCCAGACGTGCATGCTGCGCGTCTACATCGCCTTCCAGGACTACCTGTTCGAGATGATGCTGGTGGTGGAGGGCGTGATCCTCAAGAAGCTGGACGCGATCCCCGGCTGCCAGATCAGCCCCTCGCAGATCCGCAAATGCACCGAGAAGTTCCTGCTCTTCATGAAGGACCACTTCGACAAACTCTTCGGCAGGATGGAGGAGGTGCTGCTGCAGCTGGTGCTGAACATCCCCAAGAACGTGCTGCTGCCCGAGGACAAGGTGCACGAGCAGTATCCCTGCAGCAAGGAGGAATTCCAGGCGCTGCAGGAGGAGCTGCAGCAGCTGCAGCAGCAGTGCAGGGCCGAGGCGGCCGCGGGGGAGGCTCTGAGGGCCGAGCTGGAGGAGCAGAAGGCTGTCCTGGGGGAGCTGGAGAAGATCGTGCAGTGTTTCAATGGGCTCGAGAACATCTGCAGGGAGCACGGGACCGGCAACTTCAAGGAGAGCTTTGCCTTCCTGACGCAGAACTCGAAGAGGCTGCAGGATGCGCTCAAAGAGGTCGAGGAGAAGAGCAAAAAAATGGAGCAGGATGAGAAGTTACTGTAATGGAAGTGCTGGCAAGGCAACAGAAGTCGTGTGGAGAGCTTGCTAAAATGGTTGAGACTTGTCTCCCTTGCTCCTCTCATCCTGCCAGGAGCTGGACTAAAAGTTGAACCTCCCTAGGGAGGAAATCCTGTAAAATGTAACTCAGAATTGGTGACCTGGAATAAACTTTGGGTTGGATAACCTGGCTGTGAAGGTGCCTTCCTGGCCACTGAACGTTTCCTTTGAACACAACACTGCACGTGCCTATCTTGAGGATTATAAAAACCAGTCTCATTAAGACTTGCAGGAATGTTTAGGTGGGTTTCCAGCCTGATGGCAGTGCAGGTGATGGTGCCATGAGGACAAGGGGACTAATAATTTATACTTTATTAGCATAGGGGTTTGAAAGGCATTAAACTTCTGAATTGTTTTGGAGTGACTGCAATAAAAAAAAATGTATTAAAGACATAAAATACACTTTGGAATTCTTTCTTCCCTGATGTCTGAAGACCTCAGCTGGATAAAACCAGAGTCTGGAGCCATTATTGCCTTGGTGTGGGACTGGGGACTTGTCAATTCATGAAATAAAAAAATGACTCAGCAGCCACTCCTCAAATCCTCCCAGAGGGAATTAATGTCTGATCTTGAGCTCCAGACCTCTGCAGGAATGTTGGGGTGTGTGGAAATTATTGTTCAGGGGAGGAAAAAAATAGGGAATAAGGTTAAGATTGACTTGCTTTTTTAGAAAACAACTTTATGACATCAAAATTCCCTAACCTGAAGAGCAGAAAAATGTGATTAATGCAAAATCCACTGTAGAGAATCTCACTGCAAAATTGCGTCTTTTTCTACCACTACCATCAGTTTTGTTGCCAAATCAAGCAGCTGCTGTCTGTAAATTGCATGGAAATTTATGGCTACTGTTTCATTTAATGCTGAACTGGGCAGAGTAACACGCAGAAGATCCCACTTGGCAGCAGAGGGCACCAGCGGCCCGGCTCCACAAAGGTTTGGTCTCTTTTTTCCCTCTCTGTGTAACTTTCCTGGGCGCCAATTATCGTGTCTCCTCAGAGGAATCAATTTTTTTTCTCCTTAATTAACAGGAGACACTTTTCCTGGGCGTTTCCTGCCAGGAGTGACCACACACGCGTTTGCAGGAAGCTGGATCCTACTGAGCTCGTACCCCCCACTGCTGTATTTTCCTTTAAAGAAGAATTATTTCCATTTCCACTCTTTCCTCCTCTCCTGACCAGGCAGCTCCCACCGTGGCAGGACCCACCCCCCTCAGGCAGCAGGTCTCGTTTGGGCTGGAAAAATCCTGTGGGATCATCGAGGCCAACCGGCACTGCCATGGCCAGCATTGACCGTGCCCCCAGGCGCCACATCCACATTTCCCATCGGGACTGGTGAGGCATTTCCCACCCCAAATCACATCCCACGTGTGCCCCTCGAGGTTCAGACCTCTCTGAGCAGCTCCACGTACCTCGACCCCATCCTGAGTGGCCTCTGTGTCCGTGGTTGTCCCGCTCTCTGCAGGCTCCCGTCGCTCCAGAGGCAGATCCGGAGGCACTGGAGCAGCAGTGCCCACGGCACACGTCCCACCAGTGGCAGCAGGGACGGGTGGCACCAGGCTGCTGCAGGGGCAGCACCTGAGACTGGCTCGGGAAGGAAGGGGAGAACTTCCACATGGATGGTTTTAATGCTCCTTTTCCCTCCGTGCTCGTGCGGAGCCGGAAGATTCAGAGAGCCCCAGGCTGGGAATGAGGTGAATGTAACAGCCGAGGTGAGAAACACAACCAGCTGCTGTTAAAATGTTACCAAGAGCCTTTTGCAGGGGAAGCAGCCTCGTTGGTGGGCACTTGGTCCAAGGAACCCCCCTCAGCAGAGCTGGGGGCTGAGGGGAACAAAGCCACTGATTTTCCTACTGGGATAACACACAGCCCTGAGCCGGGGACATGCAGGAACCCCAAAACTCCACGGGGCTGGGGATGTCCTGGCAGCTGGATACACCTTTGGATGGGGAACAGCTCTGAGCCCCACTGGCTACTGGGACTATCAGGCTTCCAGCACAACCCACTCCAGGGAATAAAAGCATTTGCAGCTGGATTTGCAGCGGGCCAGGTGAAGCAGGGAAGGAGCCAGCACTGTGTCCCAGGGGTGGTGGTGTCCCCAAAATGCCCTGGAAACCCCTGGGGTTCAGTCCTCAGTGTAAGGGGAGACAAAGAAGAATAAAATCAAGAATAATTTCTGGCAGCATTCACAGCCTGTTGGAGCACTCGGGGCTGGGCAATGCAGTCCTCCTTGACTCAGACACTGAGTGATCGTGTAATTAGCAGCCGTTAATGAACCCACACCTGGCAAAATGCCAGCCTGGGGCTGGGGGAGGGAGGGTTACCATATGCCTCCTCATTAAAAGCTTTAATTACAGGCAGGAAATGCTGGGGGCAGCCACACACTTTAATTGCTTCACCTCAAGCTGCCGGTGGGTCAGCTCCTGCCTCTGCCATCCCAGAATGGCTCAGGGCTCTCATTCCCACTAGACCAGGTTGCTACGAAATTGTTGTAGGAAATTGAATTTCAGCCTGAAGAGAGGAAAAAAATTATAATAAACTAAGCAAATAATTAGAGAAATGACATCAAGGCAAGAAGTCATTTCCCTGGATGGATCCTACCCCAAACCCGAACACTTTGGACCCAGTGGTGCCACAGCTGTGACCCCTCTGCTTGGTGCCCTCACACCCACCAGTAGTTCTGTCCCCTTCCCCAGCAGCTCCCCTGCCCACACCCCCTGTGTGCCCCCTGTCCAGGCAGCTGTGCCTCCAGCTCCTGCTCCTAGGGATTTTATTCCCTCTGCTTTCCCAGCTGAAATGCAATTCTCCCACTGCTTCGCCTGCTTATCCCTCCTGGGCTCTTATTACTCCCACTTCCACAATTCAGGGTATTATTCCCTCCTGTCACCCTAATTTCCAATAATTAGTATTTGGTGTAGCAGACGGCAGCTCTTAATGAATATTATAATAAGCACAAAATTATAATTTACTGCTCAAGAAATCCATTATGATTTGCAAGAAAATGAGGGGGGAGCGGCTTCCAAGCCATTTACCTGGCTGGATCCAAACCCAAATCAAGTCCCCAGCAAGTGTGGGGTCAGCCAGCCAGTCCTGTCCCATGACACCAGAAAACCCCAGGATTTGCTGTGATTTCCACAACCAGGCCATGTGAGTTCTAACCCAGACCAGCCCCAGCCCCTCTTCAAAGCAAACTGCACGTTTCTTTGGAAGTAAATGGAATTAGGGCAAGAAAACTTCCCCAGCCCCACTGCAGCAAGAGGCTGCAACAGCTGGGGATGTGTCACTGGGCACGATGTGTCCCTGAGCCTCTTCATCCAGGAAAAACCCAGGAGGGAAAGGGGGATGAAATGAAGCCCTCCAAGCCCCTCCCTGGGGGAGGTTTAAACAGCAGAGAGAACACGAGAGCATCTCCCAGCCCCGCCCTAGGAACTGCACTCACACCCAATGTCATCTCTGTGGACTTTATTGTCGTTTTCTCCTCAGTTCTACAGTACAAAAGCATGCAAAAAATAGCCTCTCTCTTCATGGTACATATTTACAGTGTAACAGCCACGTGCTGTTACAGTTCTGAGTGCATTTTTACATCATGCTTGAGTCACAGCAGAGCACACACAGGGTCAGGAATCGAACACCGAGTGGAACGAGAGACTTAAATCAGAACAGGCCTAGAAATGGGAAACAGCAGCAAAAACACGGCACAGAGGATCTGAATGACACCCTCAGAAGTTGCAATCTTTTTTTTTTTTTTTTTTTTGAATTTACACTTTTTTTTTTTTTTGGAAAGCTTTGATTGATGGCTTGTGGCTACTGACTGAGGGCCTGGGCAGCAGCTCTGAGAGGACATGGCTTTTCTTCAGGAAGGGGAGGAGCAAGGCAGCAACTGTCCAGCTGCTTTGCTTCCCTCATCCTATGGAAGGCTGCATTCAGAGCAACAGGGCCATGGGATAATCCAGGTTAATTCAGTTTGGGAGGGACTCAAGCAGAGCATGGTCTTCTGTGGGAGGCTCTGGGCCACAAAGGAATCCTTTCCACTGCTGTGCTCAGCAAGCTCCACTGGAAACGTGCCCTGGTAAAGCAGGCAAGTTTGGCACCCAAACTAAGTTACATTTACACACAAAACCTCCACTACCTGCTTTCCAGTCTCCCTGCTGGACACTGGACACAGTGGTGCTCCCAGTGGGACCCCCCAGCACAGCTCTCCTGCCTCTGGAAATGTTTTCACACTCCCTGAGATCCCCATCCCCTGGGGGCAGAAAGGATCCTGCCTCCCCTGCCAGTGCCATCCCACACAGAGCTGGGATCACCCATCCCAAACCAGCACCAGCTTTGCTTGTGGCAGGGCAGTAACACTGAGCAGCTCCCCAAGAGCTGGAGATGGGGGCTCTGCACCTGGAATCATGGAGGAAGGTGTCCAAGGCCATAAATGATCCTGTTAGACTGCATTGCCCATCTACCCAGAGACAACCACCCTGACTGTCCCTGCTCTGGAGCTCCTGCACTGCCTGCACCATCAGAGGACACCCTGCAGTCCTGCACCAGCCTCTCACGTGTGTGAGAACATCCAAAGCCATGGGATGCTGCTGCAGGGGCTCTGGGAATGAGCAAGGGCAGCCACAACCCTTGGAGAGCACCTGGGTCTGAAAACAAAACCCCTGGACTGGTGGGACAAAGCTCCTGGTGGGACAAAGCTCCTGGTGTTTCTGGGCAGGGACAGCACTGAGCTGGAGAGGGCAAACGAGCCACACAGCTCAGAGGGAGGAAATCCTGCCCTGGCCCCTGTGGCAGCGCTGCCGATGCCCTCAGGACACAGAGTTGTGCTGAAGGAACAAGAAATTCCCCCCACTGGCTCCTCCTCGCAAGTCTGGCAATAAATAAGGAATTAAATCCCATCCTGGGAGTTGTTTTATTCAGTCACAATTTGCTTTGCACGGAGCAGCTCCACTGTCCCCTGCCGGGCTCCCTTTGGATGCAGCTGGACACAAAGTCAGCCTTCCCACCACCAGCCCTGATGCTGAAAACCTCATTTATTTGCAGGTGTGACCTTCACAGCAACACATTCCTGCCCAAAGGGTTAAAGACATGGACTGACCATTCCTCCCTGCCAGACAGGAGAGACTAAACCAGGATTTTTGCTTAGCATTATCCCCCAAACTGAAGGCCTAGAGCTATTGGTTGAGCAAGACAAAGAAATCCACCTCCTGTATTTCCCCCTGAAGAGAAACTTCCTTCCAAGTCCCTCAGCATTCCCAAGCTGGAAAAGCTGACAGAGCCAATGGTGCTGTTGTGCTGGGGGGAAGAGGAGCCCTCCTTGGGACTCAGAGCCCAGCTAACACAGTTCACATCACCCTGGTGCTCCAGGAATTGCACAGGCAAGTGGGGATTTGGAGGGGACAAATACAGAGCACACACAAAAGCATCACAACGTGCCCACTCCAGCTCTTCCTGCTTCTTGGAGCCCACACCGAACCCCATCCCCTCAATCACAGACAGAAGCAGACAAATATTTACCCATCCAGCTAAAGAGAATCCTTTTCCTCAACAGCTGAAAGTGCTGCCTTACCAGAGATGTTTATTTTCGAATAAACACTCTCTTTAGTCTCTTCCTTTCTTCAGAGCAGAACCAGCATTGCTCCAAGCTGCTCTAACACACACCCAAACAAGGATTTCACCACAGCTGAGTGAGAAGTAGGGCCTATTTTTGCCTCTCTGAGTGTTTCTCTTGCTGCCAGGGCACCTCTTTCATCTCAGTTCGTGCAAGTTTTCAGGCTGCTGTTTGTGATGCAATATGGGGTGATTTCTGGAGGGATAAAGACTGTTGGCAGATCTGCTGAAGAAGCAAGGTATGACACGAGCTCAGCTCTTGGTTGCTTCCTGGACCTGTGGGAACAGCTCCAGAGGGATTTCTTTCAGCTGAAAGGGCAGGTATTTCAAAGTACATTTTGGGATAATGGTAAGAAAAACATCCACCCCCTCCAAACCTGAAGTGATGCTTTAGCTACCACTGAAGGAACAGGACATGGAGTTAATTTGTAAATCATAATTTGTTTGGTTGTACTAATTGAGGCTGAGAAGAGCCCTCCTGCAGCCTTGCCCTGCCAGCTCCCACCCCTTGGGCATCACTAAAATAACCCCAGCTGCCTGGATTAGCAAATTATTCTTCCCACATATTAAAAATACAAGAACTAACCCCATGCCTGCATTCTTGGAGCTCTTTGAGCTCAACCCAAGTATTGCTTAGACCTCAGAAGTCCCACAGGGGTAAAGGATGATCAGTTCTCCCTTCTCTCCCAGGGGTAAGGGGCCTTCCTGAGACATGACCTTGTCCCAGGGTCGCTCCCTGGCCTTGCCCTGGAGACACCAGTTGGAGAAAGTCCTTTTTTTGCCCCAAACTGGGGGGCAGTTTGTCCAGCTGGGCCCCTGGTGTGCAGCAGGAGCTGTGGCACCCCAGCACAGCCCAGCTCCCTTCCTCAGGCAGCGGATCCTCCTGGCCAGTCTCTTCCATCTGCAGAGCCCCCTGTGCCCTCAGACCTGCTGAGTCCCCACCTCCACTTTCACCCCCTGTCTCTGGGTACCTAAATCTTCACCACAGGGCAGCAGGATCCCAGCAAAAGGTGCAGTGTCCCGGTGGGATGGATCAGCTGGTGCAGGACCAGGGTTCTTTGGAGGATGCTGAGCACAGGCAGACACACAGACAAGCAGGGTTTAGCAGCTGGATGCAGCAGTGCAGAGCTCAGGCCCACAGCAAGTAACCTTTCCAGGATCCAACATCACTGCCAGCTTTAAATATTAAAGGTCTCCTCGGTGAAATCCATCAGATGCCATATTATTTCCCAATTTGCCAGTATTTACAGGTGAGATGTGACTGCTGGGCATCCCACCGAGGTGGCTGAGGATGAGGGAGGGGAGGTGACAGGTTGGGGACAGGCAGAAGGCACTGGCAGCAAAGCCCAGCTATGAAAACGTTGGGAACCACCAAGATAGATCACAGCAAACAGAACAGGAACACCAGAATATACCAGTCACTACCAACAACCCCTGTGCAGGTATCTCCTTGCACAAAAAAAATTAAGGAACAAAGTCCTCAGGATTAAACCTTAAAAAAAAAAAACAGACAGTAAGATGATTGTGTAGGAACCAAATGTAATCATGTCCTTTATTTAAGTGCTATAAAATAAGATTCCAATCCCTTTGGCTTCCCAGGGGCACGTTCAGACCCCATAAAGCTCAAGGGAAAATAATGACATATATTTTGATGAATTGATGTCACTGCTTTTTACTCTCTGAATGCAAGAGTGGAATTCCTGATTATCCACACAAGTCCAGTCAGTCAACAGCCATGGAAATGGCTGCATTTCCTTTTCAAGTGCAATCTCTCACCTGTTGTCAAACTGTAGAGATGAAGCTTCTAATCCCAAGTTTAGAAGCAATCTATGGATAAAATAGCAGCATCAGCACATGCATAAGAATTACAGTCTCTTAAAATAAAATTAAAAATTAAAGCCTTAAAAAAATAAACCAAAAGATCAAGTTGTGATCTTGTGTTCTGTAGCTTTCCTCAGTCTAAAAACCCTCCACCAGCATTTTCCATCCCCGGGAGCTCTCCCTGTTTGGGTGGTTTTCAGGAAACGAAAGTTTAAAAGCATCAGGTAAGAGATGAGTGAGGGAAACGAATGAAACAAAATAACCCCAAAACCTGCAGCTCTCTCCAGCTTGAGAACAAGGTCCGTGGGTGCAGGAGTGGGTGCAGATGATGGGGGGCATTCCCAGCTCTGTGGGAAGAGCAGCCTTGGTCAGCAGGTGTCCCTGGGGCACTGAGCTGTTCCAGGGAGCAGCACATCCCCCTGCTCCAGAGCTCTGTGACATCCCAAGGCTCACTGCATGGTGCAAGCTCTGTTTCACAACACTGCACTGGCTGAAGCAAGCAGGACTGACAGCTGTGAAAAACTGAGGGGGGAGAGGAGAAGGAAAAGGAAAGAGAAAGAAAGGCATTGGGAGGGAGAGTGTTCGCTCCAAAAGCAAGATCTCATCCTCATTTAACTGCTACCCAAATTCTGCCCTCAGCTCCACAGCAGGAGCAGGACTGTGTCCTGACAAACAGAGGTGCTTTACTTGTGCACTCAATAAAACAGTTGCTCTCTGACACAAAACCTGGCTCCGACGTCGCTTTTCCTCCTGATGCTTGAAATGAGAGAACACAAAAACGCAAGGAAAAGGCCTCTGGGGCGAGGGACCCCTGAGACAACGTTACAAATAAACCCACATTCCTCAGCCAAGACACCCAGGGGACAGAGCCCAGGGGTGAAGCACAAGTGGAGAGCAAGGCACACACGGAGGAGGGCACGGACGCCTCGCCCGAGGACTCGCTCTGCTCCTTCTGGCTGCTCTGCTCCTCCCGCCTGGTTTTCTGGGTGGGTCCCATTTTGGTGGCTTTTGTTTGGTCGTGGTTTGTTTTGTTTTGTTTTTTTTTGCTTTGCAGGCCCCAGAGGGGGTGATGAGGGCGATGGTGCTACACAACACCACGATGGGCACAACAGCAGCAGCACGAGCGGGACCGGCCGGGCAGCCTCAGGACGTGGCTTCGTCTTCACACACATCAGGCAGCTCGGGGTCCCTGGATCCTTCTCTGCTCCCTTGTTTTCTACAGGAAGGGCGAAGGAACAAAGAGATTATAGGCACAGAGCAAGGCAGGGGGTGTTCTGTCCAACCCAACTCAGCAATATCAATATTAAGGAGGAACAGCAATGAACCAGCCTGTTGTGCTGGTACCACAAGAACACCTCAGCAATACCCCTGCAGTGATGTGCAGCTTGTGCCTGGATACTTGCTTGGTCTCTGCACCCCAAAAGCTGAGCTTTGCACTTCCCTGAGTGCCTTTCTCCAGCTGCAGCATCACAAGGAGGTATCTGGTTCTTGGGGAAAGTCCTGCAGACCAGCAGCAATGTTTTCAAATTATCCAGTTTGTATTTGGAGAGTTCTGGCTTGCTTTGCTTTAATCTGATTTTTTCACAAAGATCAGAGGGATGGCTTCATCCCTTAACTGCTTCTCCAAAGCCCCGCTGTAAATGGCAATAAAACTAAATGTTTCCACCAGAGCTCAGTTTGTCCTACACAAAAACTGTGATTTCAGCTTCTGTGAGTTTGTCTGGTCCCCAGAACAGCAGCACCCAAATCCTGAGAGCAGCAGTCATAGAATTATAACCAAAGTAACTTACTTGCATAGCACATTCACCACGATACCTTCAGCCTTTTCCTCCTACTCCTAAATTCTGCTGTTTTCTCATGGAGAAGGCTTGAGCTGTACCTGCACTCTGGGGCATCCTTGAGCAGCAACACCTCCACCCAGCCCAGCCATCCACAGACAGCCCATGGCCAAGATCTGACCAGAGAAAGCTGTCACTGCTCGGGACTGGATGGAGAAGAGGGGACACCTCCAGGTGCCACCCACAACATCCCACAGCAGTGACTGATGGCAGGCTGATGCCTTCGCCTAAAACACCCATTTCTCCACCATGAAGATATCCACAGCATCAAGGAGCTGATGATACTCTAAGAATCTGTCTCCCAGCGTGTCCAGCCTCACTCAGGGCAGCCTGGTTGCATCAGGGAATCATGGAATGGTTTGGGTTGGAAGCGGGACCTTAATGCTCATCTTATCTTGTTCCAACCTCCCTGCCGTGGGCAGGACCAGGTTGCTCAGAGCCCCATCCAACCTGGCCTTGAACATTTCCAGGGTGGGGCATCCACAACTTCCCTGGGCAACCTGCTCCAGGGAATTCTGTAGGAGAATCTGCATGGACAAGCCAGCCCTGCAGGGGAGCATCAGCACTGCTGCACAGTGTCTGGAGCACACAGCGTTTGGGAAACGTGGGTTTGGAGCTCTGTCTGGGAACAACACTGAAAGGACACACAAGGCTAAACCAATCTTTGAAGAAACCAGAGACGATCAAAGATCACGTTCCCTTTTCCCTCTGCTCCAGCAAAGCCCTGCAAGGAACCTGACCTTGAACCCAGGGACCATTTCCCTGCGGGGGAGGCTGAGGAACAGCTCTGCCTTCAGTGCCTGTCATCACCCTCTTCAAATGACTGATCACCACATTTACCAGCTGAGGCTCTGCTCTCTGGCACAGCCCAGCATATCCTGCTGCTCCTGCTCCCTGCCTGGGGTGTGTTCAATGTTCCCCCACCACCCGAGCAGCCCCTGCCTCCCCACACACCTTCATGTCAGGGTGAAAGGACCCTCAGGCTGGCCAACACCAGCCAAAAGCCTCGGGCTGCCCCTGGAGCAGCAGAGATCAGACACCAGCACTCCACAGTCTGCACTGGAAACTCGCTCCTGCTGCGAGGTCTGAGGCTGGATGAGAATCTCTGTTAAATTACTCCTTGTAAAAAATAAGAGTGTATTTCTGCTACATTTTCTAAGCCACCGGCGAGCAAAGCCTGACCTGTGCAATTATCCAGGAGAGGACATGGCTGCTCACCAGGGGAGCTGCAGGGAGATCACAGACACTGAGGGGCTCACACCGTGTTCTGTGTCCAGCAGGGAATGAGCCTCACAGCACCACCCTCCAAAACACGGGACAGGGATGGAGTGGGACAGCCTAAAGAATCACAGCATAACACACCCCCCTGGCACCTGCTTAATTCCTCCACTGAGCCCCCACTAAACACCAGCAGTCTGCCCCTCATCCAAGCTGCTGGAATCCCTTCCTCCCCAGGAAAAGGCAGAGCAGGCAGTGGCACCAGCTGTCCCTGCCGGCGCTGTGCCAGTCGCCATCCTCCTCCCCTGCCTTCCCCTAACTATTTTTGGAGAATCTCTGCAAGTCCTTCCTCACTCAGAGCAGGCAACATCCTGGCTCTGGCTCATCCATTTGTCTCGGAGTGATAAACCAGGAGCCAGGCAGAGTCTCCAGAGCTGCTCCCAAAGGTATTCAGAGCTTTGCCAGTGCCCCATCTCAGCCCAGATCTGCCCAGGCCTGGCTGCAGGCTGTGTCCTGCCTAAGCACTGGATCCTGGGACTTCACACCAAGATGCTTGTAAGCAGCTTGTCAAGGGTTGCATTAATGCTATTTTGTTATTTAACAGAATTAAGTGGCCCAACCACTTCCCAGAAGGGTCTGTGCAAGTGGTTGGACAGATGACCATGATTTGATGAAGTCCTGGTGGAGGTGGGGTTGGGTGGTCACCTGGAGCAACCAATTTCAGTCTTCTCAGTGCTGCACCAGAGGCAGAAGAACAGAGGAGCACCTGGAGCAGAGATGGCTCCAGCCCTGTTTCTTTTGCATCATCACTAAATATCAAACCTGAGCCCAAATTCCAAAGCTCAGCTTTTCCCAGATTCTGCAGCCATTCCCTCCTCAAACGTGGGGCTGAGCACCAGTTCCTGCTAACACCCCCTTGGCTTTTTTTCACCCCTCCCTCCCTTAAAGCAGTTGAAATGCCAAAGAATCACAAACAGCAATAATCATAAAAAGCATTCCTAAACGTTAGTGTCACACACACACAGAGAATGAGTGCAGCAGAACTGCTCCTACAGGAAGGAAGGATGGAGCCAAATGTTCTCACTACCACACAAATCACACAGGCTGAGGAGGGGACACACAGGCTGAGGGGGTTTCTACAGCACCCAGGGGAAACAGAGACACGGAATTACCTTAAAGATGGATGCAAATGTACGGATGTGTTTAAGAGGAATCTGTCCCTGAGAGCAAAACAATGAGACAAAGGAAGAAAGTGATCATGAAGATGATGGCAGCAGGCAAAGGAGCTTGTCTTTCTGTGCCTTAACCAGCCCAGTGAGCAGAGTGGAATGGAGGAATGAGCACCAGCCACATTTACTTGCAGCCTGGGAGACAGATGAGGATGGGCACTGGCACAAACCCACTCCAGCCCCTACCACTGCTGAAAGCACCAAACAGCTTCCAGCACACTGCTGGTGTCCCTGGGCCTTGTAATTTGGCTCCTCTGGAGGTTTTGTCTCCTCTCATGGCCTGGCATCACCACTAATGCAGTGGGGCAGAGCCACAGCAGCAGTGGGGCCTCGCTGGAGGGACCTGTGGATAGTGGGTCATTCCAGAGGAAAATCCTGTGCCACAGCCTTGGTCCTGTGAGGATACCTACCTGCATGTGGGGCATGGCTCTTCCCACAAGACATGCAGCTCTCTCTGCAGTGAAAACTGATAAGGCTTTTGGTTGGGTTTCACTCAGTTCTGACAGCATTGACCAGTCCCTATCCAAAATCTCCTCTCTCTGGAGAGGCAGACACTGAGCACCACCAGAGACCAAGGGAGCATCTTTAGTGCAAACATCTGGCAAATTTAAACCCAGCCTGCAGTTCTTCCCTTGTCAAAGCTGATGCTGTCATCTTGGCTGCCCTAGGAGAACCTCTGCAGCCTGTTTTTGAGCAGCCCTATGGCACTGAGCCCTGGAACTTTCTCAGCTCAGAGTCCCTGCGAGGCAGGCACCCCCAGGCTGCTTTGGGAGAAGCTGTTTCTGCTTGGAGACCTGGGTCAGACACTTTTTTTATCTCCTTTTCCCCCTTGGCTTCCTCATGCCTCACTTAGATGGATAATATGGCCTTAAGGGCAGTGATGGCTCTTTTGCTCTCTTTTTGGGAAGGCTGGAAACAGGGTAGGCTTTTTAAATACCAACTGATCCCCCATATAGGAGCTGACAACCACATTCCATCAGTAGCAACAGCAGCCATAATGGGAAAGTAAATTGGGTCTGTCAAAACACAGCAATTAATTTGATAGGTAGTACTTGCAATAAATGAGAGCAATAAAATGTGGTGAAGCCAGTGCTGACTCAATTAGGAGAAGTCTGGAGCAGGCAGAAGAAATGCAGCAAACATAAACCCAGAACTCAGCTGTGAACAGCTGGGCTTAAAAAAAAAATACCGTGAAACTGGAAAATTAGAAAGGATCAGTTGCTTCTGCAGCCACTGTTAATGATGGGCTTGAACCTGGCACAGCCTGCAGGACCTGCAGGGCTCCATGAATCACTGCCTCTCTGGGAGATCCTGCAGGAAGGGCAGGATCCAGGGACACCTGGACACCCTCCAGGTGACAGGGTAAGGTGACAGCTGGCAGCACTCACACAGCTCTGGGTGTGCAAAGCAAGAACTGCTAAATGGGGGCATCTTCATTTCGGTTCCTCTCCACCTGCTGAGCGTGCCTGCACTTCACAGCTGCCTTTCAAACTGCTCAGTGCTGATAAACAGAGCAATAAATAACAGCCAGGAGAGGGTCTGCTTCTTCCAGGTCTAAGGAGTGCTAAAAAAGCCTTCTCTCCTCCCAGTATTAACTTAAGAACTGTTTCAAATCGCTGGTGTCTTAATGGTGTCCTCTAAAGGAGCCGAGGCTACCAACATGAACACCCCCCCTGCTCTTGCACGAAGCATTTCCAGCAGCAGAGCCCAGCACACTGTGTAGGTAATGCAGGGAGAAATGAAAAGAGATTCAGCCACATGATTCAGCTTCCCCCTCTCCAAATCCCAAGGACAGCTCCATTTTAAGAATCACCAATTAGGCATCAAATGCCAGAAAGCAGGCTCAGCTGCCAGAGGATTTCCTGCAAAACACATCCTCAGAATGGGCACAGATAAAAGATGCTTGAAGCAGCAGTGAGTGGGGCTCTGGCACTTCACATGCAGCCCAGTTGAATAAATTGAATATTGAATAAATTGAATGTGAAACTGGGGTTTTCTAATTGCTTTTCTTTTTCTTTTCCTTAGCAACACAAGGAGTTATTTCCTACCTATAACTGGAAAGAAGGAGATGCAGTTACAAAAGCTGATTTAGCTGTCTCTGAAGACATTGCCACTGGGGAGGAGGAGCTCTGGGGAGGAGAGCTTGGGAACGTGGGGCTCGTTTTTGTCTCAGCTCCTGGTGGGCAACCACATGTCCAGAGAGCAGCGATGGCTGCAGGCACTGCTCTTCTGCCAAATCCCACTTTTGGGGTCCCCTGTCCAGCCACAAGGGTGCTGGACATGCAGAAATGCTGCCTTTACTACAACAATATGCTCTGTTCCTGCAAGGTCCTAAAAATTTACGGCAATGGAGACTCACTTGAAATTTATTTTAACTAACACAGTGCTATTCATAACATTGGCACTGATGTTATACTTTATATGTGTATTAAGGCTTTTTTTTTCTAGGGAACAACCCACTATGAATTAAGGACTGGATGAGCTCAGTGTCTACTCTGTTTGTCCCTGTGGAAATAACACTGTAATCAAGAGATAACTCACTGAACAATGAACATTCCCATTTAGACTCGGTTCACTTATAATTAATGTCATTAGATTCAGCACATCTATTTAAATTTGAAGCAATTTTCATTAGGTTCAGCCAGTAAAGCATTTTCCAAAGTTTGAAATAATAATAATCCACATGCCTTAAAAGGAGCATCCCTGCTGGAGTGTTTAATATACAACACTTTGTTGAAGAGACTTGGCCAGCTTTTTCCTTTTAAACAGGAGGGGTTTGAGATGGGTTCTCAAAGCTCCAGTTGTGCATGAATTAATTTCGGATAAAGTCAATTGTTACTGCCAAAAACTGGCACTGGTGGCACGAAACTGGGAAATGAAGAGCAGGGATTAGTGCAGTGGAGAACTGGCACATTCAAAGGCCATTCACATTAATTTTGGACATTAAACTGGCAGGGCAGAGGCCAACCCAGCATGGCCACAGCTCCATCCCTGGCCTGAAATGTTTTTGTAAACTAAGGGCACCGGACACAGCAGCACAAAAGTGGAAATTATACACTTTTATAAACCCCCTTTTAGTCTGTACAAGGAGCCTGAATAAAACAGGGGTGGAATGAGCAGAGACAGGGAAAGATGCTGGGTCTGTATAAGCTGAGAAGAATTTGACCAGCAACTTTAGAAAGGAGGCAAATAAAAGTGGAGGCTTACAGCTCATCTTGGAGGCCTAAAATGATGTTAAAAGGATTAGACATTGATTATGTGGCTGATCAGAAGCTTCACAGCTATGTGAGATCAAATGAACTTTACTTAATCTGGGAAGATAACAAAGCACCAGCTCCAGACAGGAACCAGCCACAGGGTTAAGGAGTTTTCCCACTAGATGGGTAGTTGGTGGCACAGGTTTTCAAGCATCTCAAGTGAAAGTGGAAGGGAACAGGTCCCTTTTGGAAGCAGGCTCAGCGTGATCACCTTGAAATATCAGTTCAGGCAGGGTTTGAAAAGAAGAAATCCTGCCTTGCTCTGAGTGAGCTGTCTGGGACACTGGGAAGAACACAATACATTTTTCTCCAAATTCAGTAAATGTTTCCCCATCTCACAGTAACACCATGCAGGGACCAGGAGTGATAGTGAAGATATGGGTAGGGACGTGTGCCCAATTAGCAATAACTAATTTGGAAGGCAATAAGCCAAGGGAAACAAATGAGGACAAATCCCTTGTGCTGAGCTGGCAAAGGAGCTGTGACTGCCACGCTCCAGAAATGTCCCCCAGCAGCACTCGTGTGCAAGGGGTTAAAGTAGGGTCTGGCCCTGGACTCCAAGGCAGAGTTTTTAGTAAAGTCTCCAATACACAGCTGGGACCTAAAGCATTATCACCCTTAATTGAGCTGAGCCCTCAAATCCCCACACACCTGGGAGAGGCAGAGAGAGACTCCTCTAACGGCATTGTCAGTTGGTGCAGTGAGAATCAGCACACCCTCAGGGGAGTCTGCCAGGCATGGTGCTGGGATTTTGGGTGGAAAAAGCATCATTTTGGGACGACACAGCTTTGTTGTGAACCAAGCCTTGCAGATCCCGTGGGGTGAGAACTTTATTTATACAAACATAATTGTCCCAGATCAAGCTAATGGTCCAGCTGGTACTTACTGGACTGATGGCCCAGAATCCTGTCTCTGAAAGGAGTCAGTGATAAAAATGAGGGAGGAATAGTAAGAACCAAGTAAAGGGCAGAGGAATTCTCTCCCCACCCCTGTACATAGAGAACATCATGTTCAAAAGCTGTTGATGAACCTATTAGTCATTAATATGTCTATTCCCTTTTTAATCCCAATATAGCCATTTATACCCAGCCTCCAAAATATCCTGCTGCAACATGTTCCACTATTTCATAACTGTCAGTGTGGAAAAAATACTGTATGTGCTCTCAAAGGAAAAAGCAATTTCAAAGTGTTCTTTTCTGCCCATGTGTCTCTGCCCAGACTTGGGCCCCGGACCACACTCAAACCCCATCATCTCATTTTGAGTTTAAAAAGCACATAAACTGCTCATCTGGTACCAGTTCTGTTGTCCATAAAAAGGAGAGAAGAATTAAACCCTGTGATATATATCTAGACTAAACTCTGGTTAAACTCATTTTTCTTCACCAGTCTCTAATGGATCTTTGATCACAGAGTGTTATAAACTAACAGGTAAAAAAACCAGACCCAAGTTTAGCACCTTACATGTGTGTTTAGGTCAAACCCATCTTACAGAGAGAATTGCATCTATAAAAAAAAGAGCTTTTAGACTGTATTAATGCATTGTATTTCAATCTGAGGCAGATTTTATCTTCAGTATTTGACTTAGAAAGGAGTTTTATCCTTGAATGCTACAGAAAAGATTTGCAAACTGCCTCCTCCACCCTCCCCAGGCACCTTTGCTCTGCCAGGCAAGGCTGTGGGTACCTACATCAGCAAATTCCCCGGGGCAGACATGGATCTCTCCTCCCGCCTCGTCTGGACCTCGAAGGGATTTCCAAAGGAGCGTTTCCTTAGCATGGCCTTCACCAGGATCTTTGAGGAAGCAAAACAGACCAGTGAGAACAGCAGGACCGACTCCTTGAAGGCAGTTCAGAGGAGTAACAACAGCTTCTTCAGTAATTCAACAGACATTTAACAGCGCTACAGCAAAGAGCGTGAAGTGAAGGAACCCACAGAACAGCTGCTGCAGTGCTCTGACACAACAAGTTCACACTGGGTGCAAAGGCCAAGCTTTCCATGCCAGCAGCTCATGTGCCCCCTCTCCAAACCTCCCTCCCCACCAGCTGAAGGCTTCAGCAGAGCCCCACACCCTTGCCCAGTGCAGAGGTTTGTACCTACCACAGCTGGCAAACTGGGGATGGTCTTCACCGAGTTCTTCACCTCCTCCTCGGTCACCTCCACCACGGAGCAGTGCTCCTCCTCCAGCGGCAGCGGCTCCTCCCCGCCCCTCGTCAGCCAGGGGTGCACCTGGGGAGGGACAGACACGGCTCTGGGATGCTGGGGTGGGAGGGAAGTGGGGCACACAGGCTGAGCTGTGCTTGCTCCATTTTCCACTCCCAGCAGTGCTTTCCAAGCGGCTTCCTTGGAAATTTTGGTCACCGCAATGTAGGAAAGGTGTTGAGCCTTTAGAGGGCATCCAAAGGAGGGCAACGGAGGTGATGAAGGGCCTTGAGGGGAAGCTGTGTGAGGAGCAGCTGGGGGCAGTTGGTGTGTTCAGCTGGAGGAGACTGAGGGGAGACCTCAGTGCAGTTCCAACTGCCTAGGGAAGGGCAGAGGAGGGGCAGGACTGAGCTCTGCTCAGGGGGGACCAGGGACAGCCCCCAGGGAATGGCTGGAGCTGTGTCAGGGCAAGGTTAGGTTGGATGTTAGAAAAAGGTTCTTCCCCCAGAGGGTGGTTGGCACTGAACAGGCTCCCCAGGGCAGTGGGCACAGCCCCAAGGCTGCCAGAGCTCCAGGAGGGTTTGGACAATGCTCTCAGGCACAGGGTGGGGTTGTTGGGGTGTCTGTACAGGGCTAGGGGCTGGAGTCGATGATCCTTGCGGGTCCCTTCCAACTCAGCATATTCAGTCACTCTGTGATTTTGGTGCCTGGGCAGATGGCATCCCCTAATGCCCAGTGCTGTCCCACCCACTGCCACCGACTGGCACCTGGGAGGAACCCGGTGCCCTCTGACTCAGGCCTGAATCGCTTTGGAAACCTGAGTTATCCAGAGCGTTTTCATCTTTTTCTCTCACATGCAGCAGAGGGAAGCCCCCTGTTCCTGCTGTCTCTCATGGGAGAGATGCTTTCTTGGCTGTGAACATGAGGAAAGCTCTGTCCCAGGGCAGGGGCTGAGCCCAGAGCCCAGCCTGGCACTGGGGACACGTGCTCTGTCAGCACCCAAGGCAAGGCCCCAAGCACAACAAGCACCTTCAGTGCATGGCCAGGGACAAGAGCCAGCACCCAGCTCTGCTCCTCTACCCAAGGCATCTTATAGGATGCACATGAAATGCCCTGCAAGAACTGTGGAGTGAAATCCCACAAATACAGCTCCAAAGGACTTCCCTCATCACTGGCTGTGACCTACTGGGCATGGAGGGAAGAGATGTCACATTTTTTTTTTCCTTGAAGTTTAACCTTTCTACTGTAAGCTTTGGTGGCAAACGTGCTGGTGTTGGCCCAAGACAAAGCAAACAAGAGTTGTGTGCCCTGCAGAGGATGCTGATGGATCCCTTTGGAAATCTTGAGATCCTCCAGCAGGTCTGAGGCCTCAGCAAGGGGTGACAGGAGGACAGCGAGCCCATGCAAAACCAGAATAAAACCAAACCCTGTGAAGCACTGTGCTCTGCCAGCCCTATTCATTCTTTCTGTTCATAAGCATCTCCCAAGTAATGGTGAGAGAAACAAATGTTCTGCCTTGAGGCCACTGACCACACGAGGAACACACATCCAGCCCCTGTAACAGGTCCCACACTGCCAGCACAGGCTCTGCAGTCCCCCTGACAGTGTTGATTCTCCCAGGGATTCACTGAGCTCAGCCAGCTTTTGAGTAATTTTCATTGAAATAAGCAAACAAGAAAGCTTTTGTCAATATTCCCCAAGCAAGAAGCATCGACAGAGCTGTGGGATGCTGCAAAATGAGCACCCTCCCTTTCCCACACGGCGTGCCAGGGAGAGCTCCCAAAACAAACACTGGGAACAGCTCTGCCTCGTTAGGAGGTACCACAGGAACAACAAAATCAGCTGAGACTGAAAACTCTAATATCAAAGTCCAATTTACCTTAATTTCTGGGACTGTTATCCTTGTTTCTGGATTTTTATCCAGCATGCGCAGCATCAGTTCCTTGAGCTCATCACTTATCTGTGCTCTGAGTGAAGAGAACAGCAGCAGGCAGTTAACAAGGGAATTGTAAGGGCTCAAGACATGCCCAGTTCTTTCTGCAGTTACTTGGTAGGGAACCTGCTCCACTCAGGAGATATTTGCTCTGCAAACCTGGCTTGAGAAAGGAAGGTCTTGTTGGCTTGGTTCCTCCTCAGGCACCACAGTTACAGAGCTTGGTTATCCTGTCCTGCCCACTAACACAAAGGCACCCTCTCAAAATGCACAAAAAAATACCAGGTGAATGGATTTAAGAACATTTTTAAAGACAGCACAACATAGGGAAATTTCAGAGGGCAGATTCTGGGACAACAAAACATTCCTGAGAGAAATGAAGTTGAACTGAACATGTCAAGAAGGGCACAGCTTGATTTGCTGAACCTGCATCGTGAGCAGCTGTGTGCTGGATGAAACCTCCCCCACATGATATTCAAATTCCCAGCTAAGCCTGCAGGTTGTGTTAATTAAATTGCTTCCACGAACACTGATGGCAGCCAGACAGTAACTCTGCATTTCCTACCTGTACAGCTCAGCCTTGGAGTAACAAAAGGAGGGAATGAACAGGTGTAAGAGAAATACACATAATTTTTAACACTATTTCCAAGATCTAAATGCTACAGTGCCTGAACTCAGAAGCCACTCTATTCACATGGAGCCCTTGGTCCTGCAGTTTGTTCCTCCAGCCCAAAGGCTGCAGTGACTCCTGTGGCCAATGATACAGGCAACATCTTCCAAACACTCCAGATCTGTGTGATCAAAGTGCTGCTGCATTAAAATGCCAGCATGTGACACAATCACATTAGGCAGCTCAAAGTCTGTGTCACGAATGACTCCTGAAGAACTGCCCAGAGAAGGAATTTGGCAGCACAAAACATCACTGCCCAGCAGGGCTGGATCTGAGACTGGAAACGCTGGTGAGGACCAGGTGCTGTGCCCACCTCCTCTGCACTGCCCCAAGCAGAGAAGGGAATAAACTATCACAAACCAACATGAAAACCGCATCACAACAAGGGATATTTTAGTCTGATGAAAGCAGAGCTGCTGTTTGATAATTTATGAAATCTTTAAGTGGACTTTGGTTATGGGATCTTTCCAAACAACCAAAGAAACGCTGGTCATTCAGTGGGAAGGGGCATGAAGTGGGTTCAGTTTAAATAAAGTCTAACCACTTTCAGAGTTGCCCCAAGGGTGTGCAGTACACAAGCAATACAGCCCAGACAAGGGGAATGACAGGATGAGTCCTCAGAGACTCAGGTGACAATTTAGGTGGGAATGGGAAGAATGGTGCTGCTCTTGGGATGAGCTCCAGGCACAGAGGAACAGCACTGGGCAGTGACAGGGCATTTAGCAGGTCAGAATAAACAGGCTCCTCCCAGAGACCACACGGATGCAGGTGAGATGGTGCTTTTAAAACACTTAACATCAGTTCTGTGCCAAACTGTCAACAGCTTGCTTTAAGACACAAGAAATAGAACATATGATCACCTAACATTTCTGGGCACCAGACTGATTTCTGTGCAACACAGGACTAATGTCATAAGGAGAAGCCCTGTAAACAGGATCACAAAGTGTCAGGTGGGTGGGTTATGGCCACAAAACAGATCACATCACCCTGTCCCTGATTTCTCTTCTCCCCAGTGTGTCAGGGTAAGGTGCAGGCTGTAACTGATGGCATTTTTCTTCTGAAAAGCCTGTGCTATCTGGGTTTTCTCACAGTCCTAGTCCTGTAACAGCTCTCAGGAAAATGCCAAGCACCACAGAGCTTAGTGCCCATTTGGGAGGGCTGCCAGCACCTCAGATCACCTTACAGGGTGCCTGCAGGTCAGACAACACTGCCCTGGACTTCACCAGGAGGGACCGTGCAGCGCTTATGACTCTCTTAATACACATCTAAACAGAAACTGCTCCAGCTTGTTTTTCAGTCATGCCAGGATCATCAGGGTGTGTGAGCTAACCCCATTTACCTCGTGCCACACCAAGGGCTCAGTGACATGAATGAGAACTGCAGTGCAATAAATATTTATCCCGGTGTCTCTAAGGGAAGGGACGGGACGGTGACGCCGGTACCGTCAGCTCCATCTGTCCTACAGCCTGTCAGGAAACAGGCAACGGGTTTCCATGGGCTGTCTGCAAACAGCAGTGTGTCTTTTGTAGCCATGGTGAAATAAATTGAACCCAAAATACCCCTAACTATAGTGAGGTGCTAATTCTGTGGGAGGTCAGGGTGGATCCGCTCCAGTGAATTCCAGCTTTATGTGCGTCTCTGTTGCTGCCTTTATCTAACAAGTAGATGTGGTTTGGAGAGCTGTCAACACCCAGTAACCCTCTGCTCCAGCAAACTAACCAGGGGTACAGCTTTTTTTAGACTGGGAGAGCAGGTCACTGAGGAATCCACATAAATCAGGCAGCCCAATTATCGCTGAAGGAAATGCCTGAATGAAGGAAAGGATCTCAGCACAACCCAGTCAGCCCATTAAATGTTAATAACTTACTGCAGAGGCAGATGGGAACAGTCACTTGTGAACTGACTGCTAACCCAAATACAGGGTGGCTGAGGGAGGGTGGGTGTTCTGCCAGGACCCGAGCAAGGGGAGAAGGCTGCCAGGGAAACACAAACATTTTGCTGCAGTGCTGTCAAGACAAAGTCCTGCCCCATCTGCAGAGCAACTGGTGGGAACGTGGCAGTGGAGCATGACCAGCCTTTGTGCTCCTGATGCCTGAATCCTGGTCACCTGGTCCTGCCAGAGCTGCTCCACACCCAGGACTGGGGTCTGTGTGTGCTGTCCAACAAGTGGCCTGACCCTGTGGCCCATCCACAGAGCCCGGTGTGAGCTCCACCAGCTGGGGCAGAGATGGCTCTGGCTCAGCTTTCTGCAGTGGGTGTGCTTCCCTCAATGCAGAGGTAATTAATGCAGCCCATGCAGCCCAGGCCATGAGTCAGATGACTAAAACAGGGCAGCCTGAGGACCCCATCACCTTCTGCAGACTCAGAGCCTGGGACTGCCAAGGCAGAGGCTCAGCCCTTCACCACAGTGTTTGAAAATTCAGTGAGCATCTCACAAAATTCATGGCATGGATGGTGGATACATGCATGGATCACAGGCTGCCTGACAGCATCCCTCCCCCTTCCTCTCTAACACCAGACATGCCTTTCATTGGAGTTTTAATTTCTTTGTGCTTGAAATCAAGTAATTTTACCGAGCCACCACGGCTGAGCACACATGGAATGTACTCACCTCCTGTCAGACTCCTCTGGCAAGAACAGACACTCATCACCTCTGGACTGAACTTCCCACTGCCCAAACGCCATGTGAGTGGCCCTGGTTCGTCCCCCTGCCCTGCTGAGCACCGTGACCACAGCTGGCCATCCCAGCTGGCACAGCCCAGCAGCTGCGACCGTGCCCAGCGTGGGTTTCCTTCACCGGCTGAGGGAGGGTGGGGGCAGCCCCTCAATATCACATCTGTAAACTGATTTCTGAGTGTTTTTTCCATAACTAGCCTCAGTTTGCTAGTGCAAAAGACAAACCCATGTTCTCCTGTGGTGTGTTGGAGGAGGCAGAGGAGTGGGATTCACCGAGCTGTGGTTGTGTATCTTGGGACAAACATCCTTCCATCAGACACTTCTCCCAGCTCCAAGGTAAGTCCACAGAAGAGGGATGCATTTATTTAGACCAAGACTGAGGTCTATACCCACTCTGCTTTTGAAAATGAATATACTGAGTCATTCCAGTGGCTGCCACGTGGGGAGAAACACAACCCACCCAACCAAACCACGCACCTGGCTCAGAACTTCTCAGACCCATAACGAAATCCCTTCACTTCCAAAGATTTCAAGAGCCATTTCCCCTAGTCCTTGTCTGCACAACAAGGACAGAGGATCAGCAGAGGCAGCTGTAATACCTCAACAACATCACCAGCACAAAACCCACGTGAAGGACCCTGGAGAACACAGAGCACCTCACCCACCCATGGCTGCCCCTCCACGGTGACCCACTGGCATTTGTGCTGCACAGAGAATAATGCTGAAAACTGAACTTTATTGCACAGTAGCAGAGTAAAGTTTACTCACTCTTCTGGGAACTCCACAGGCTTGGTCTTGATCCTGTTATGAAGACCCAGAATATATTCATCTATAAAAGGGCACTGTAAAACAAACAAGAGATTTTCCAGTTGTCAGAGATCCTGGCACAACTCAGGCATTTGTCATTCATGTAACACAAGTGCACTCCCTGTAATCCCTCGATTTTACACAGAGATGGAAATAAATACAATCTTCCCACACACAATAAATTGATTTGTTCCTTATTAAAAAATAAATGCAGAAGAACAGCAGAGGGATCTAGGGAATATATAACTGGACTGGGATATCCTCCCTCCATCCAGCCTGCCTGGTGACCATGAACTGGCTCTGCCATCTTCCCTGGCCACTTCTTACCCCTGAGGTGGATGCCTGATGCCTGTGTGGTGGGATCTGCAGTGGTCTGTGCTTGGGCAGGAGTTCAGATAATATTCCTGCACTCCTGCACTCATACCTGCTGGGAGAGTGTGGGTGGGAGAAGGGGGTTCTGGCCACAGGCAAGGGAAAAGCTATGACAGGAGGTGCAGTTTGCAGAAGGCTTTGCCAGACTGGGCTCCATCTGGCCCAGCTCAGCTTTGGCAGACAGGGCTTTCTGTAACCTGGTTTGCTAAAGTGCTGCAGCAGCTTGGGATCAATCCCATGCCTCTCTCCACGCTCTGTGTAAATTTCTAAACAGAGAATTTTAAATAAATGGCTCGTTTCTAATGTGGATAATGCCCCCTACGAACTGTTGTTGGTGCTACTGATGCTGCTCTGGGTTTGTAGCACGAAAAATGTCCCTGCAAACAGGGACCAATGGTGGAAATGATCCTTTCCACAGATCCCAATGTCAGCCCCTTCTCATCCACAGGGGGATCTGGGAGCTTGCAGAAGGTAGGTCTTTGTTTCTAATACTTGCCTTTATTTGGAAAGGAATGAGTCAAAAGCCAGGCAGACAGACACTGCCATGCAGGGCTCCAGCAGCTGAGAGCCAGCTTACCTTCCCATAAACAAAGCAGTACAGGGTGATTCCCATGGCCCAGACATCCAGAGCCTGAAAAAAAGCAGGTACAGGCAGTCAAGGAGATGCAACACAGATGATCTGAATGAGGTGGATTTTCCCACTGATTCATAGAACACTGTTTGTATGGATTTAGCAGTTTCTGTGTCACTGTGCAGGGTCTCTTTGAAGTTGGGCTCCTGAAGGCATCAGCAGCACGCCTGGGGAATGAGGAATGGGCTGGGCCAGGCACTGCTTCCTTGCCCTTGCTGTGGAGAACCAGAAAGCAGCCCCTTCTTACAGTAAATTACACCATTCAGGGCTGAATCTCAAAGGTCTTCCAGGCAAAAAATCCCCATTAGACCCTGCCCCCATGTCTGCATTACCACCCTCGGCAGTGCCTTCCAGGGAATCAAGATATGACCTTGGTGCCCAGCAGCCCCCTGTGCCTCTTGATTATTTTGGAGCGGAACCAAGAGTTTCCTCCTTTCCCTTTGGGCAGGGAAATGGCTGCTGCCTGGGCAGGAATCCACAGCAAAGTGTCTGCCCACTGCACAGAACGAGTTTTGCCTGGACCGGACAGAACCAGAGCTTCAGTTTTAGTAAAGAACAACCCAATTTTGCACCAGAATCGCTGGATGGGCAACAGGAGAGGATGCAGGTGTGGTGCTGCCCTTTGTGCCATGCCTGGGGGTCCCAGGAGGCACCTGAGCTGAGAGCAAAGACCTACCTTTCCACTGAAACTCTTGCCAGTCTGTGAGATGGCCTCCTGGTGCCATGAAGGCTGGTGTCCCTGCCGTGCTGGAGAGCTGGGCATCATTCCCTTCAAACTGATTGCTGACTCCAAAATCAGCGATTTTGATGTGCCCATCATCTCCTAGGAGCAGGTTGGAAGGTTTGATGTCCCGGTGGATGATCTTCTGGTAGTGCACTGAAAATAAAAAACCCCAAAACAGGAGCATGGTTGGTCCTGGTAGCAACACAGGGGAAACCTTTCCAGGAGGATGAAAATAAAGGTGCAAGCTCAGGCACTCCACACCAAGCTGCTGCTGGGGACACAACACAACGAAGAAGAAATGCCATTTCCTTACAGACATTTCTTCCTGGTGCCTCACTGGGACACAACCCTCAGAAATACAGCTGTCACCAGGAATTCAGCAAAGAAAGAGAAACTCAGAGAAAGTTCAACCAGGGGGACCAAGCAGAGCTGCTGGAGAGGGAAGCAACTCAAAGCCTGTGGATGTGTTGGGCAACTTGCTGTATTAAATGTTTATGTGTTCCAGATAAAGAGGTTCCTTTTTAATTTACTTATTTTGAAACTGCAGTGCTGCAAAGCTGATCAGAAGGGGCAGAGCCACAGGTAGAATGAAACAGGTGACAAGCAGCTGGGTGCCAAGTCCAGCCAACAGCTCAGAAATCAGTGGGTATTTCCAACCCCAAAGATGGAATAATGGAGCTCCAACCTTGCAGCCATCACCAGCTGCTTGGTGCCAGCACCCTGAGAAGGTGCTCTCTACCTAACCAAGCTTGGTAATGGAGCCCAAAAATGAAAAACCCTTGCAAAGAGCTTGGAGGTTGAGATGCACTGAAAACAACAACAAAAATAAACCACTCTCATGTGATAATGCAGTTGCAAGACAGACATTTCCAGGCCACAGAGCGAAGCAGGAAGTTCTAGGAAAGTGGCTGATTCCTCAGGAACTTGGAGAGCAACTTTAAAAAATACCCCCCCCTCAACTTTCAGAACATAAAATGGCCCCAAAAGCAGAACTGGAGAAAACACAAGAGACTTTACTGAATGGGAGAGGAAATTCTCTAGTTCTGCCCTTCCCAGGGGACCTCTCAGCCTCCCTCCTCCCCTGGCCCTAGCCACTGTTTTCACATTTCCTTCTTGCAAATAGACCATGTTTGTTTTTATACCTCCCCACGAGCTCTTTTCATATCTCCTAGGAAATACACAATTGGGTGGAGGAAAATGCTGGTCCAACCCTTTCCTGCTTTTACAAACCTGGTCAATACACTGCCACCAAGGCAGCCTGCCCTACAGAGCACCCCACTTTGTGTGTCAGGAACAAGAAAGAACAAATTTCTCTTAACCACCTGCTCTTTTCAAGCCAACTTTCCACCAGGCCGTGCTTGGGGAAGGGAAGTCACACTTGCAGATATTTTTTCTAGAAGGACCACTCTTAGTTTAAAGCAGCGTTGGGGGACTCTGTCCTTGGCACATTAAAGAGACCCAGCAGACAAAAACTTGCTGGAGAGCACCAGCACTTCCCTCCTCTTCCAGATGTGCAGCAACTGCGTGGCCAGGCTGTGATGTGAGCCAGTTAATGCTGGAACAGCCTGGCTAGACAGTCAGGATAAACACTGAAACCCTGCAACAACAGTAATTAGGAGGAGACATCTGCTCAGCAGTAAAGCTGACATTTCATTATGGTAATATAGGGAGAGCAAAAAAAAAAGTGAGGGGAGAGTGAAGTTTTCTTTCAGGAGATGATGAGCTGCCTTTTCAGGCAGGTGTCTGTCATCTTACCACAGGACTAAGATTCCCAAAGCCTCTAAAAAAAAAAAAAAAGGGGGGTCACAAATATGGCCACAAATGTGGGTGATACAAGTACATCCCAGAGCTGGATCTGTGAAAATTGAGGGAATTACACTAGGCAAGCAGGTATTCCAGGCTTTTTATTATTTCTTCCACACAGGAAAGTAAAAAAAAAACAAAAAACAAAAAAACAAAACAAACAAAACCACAAACCATTTTCCCTACCATATAACTATTTATTTTGTAAAGTGCAGTCCTTGTCCCTGCACAGCCTCACGAAGCAGAGGAACACCACGGGCAGTTTGCCAGATGCCCTGTGTTTGCTCAGTGCCCATCTCCAGCAGGTCTGGCCAGTGCTGCCTGTTGGGCACAGGAGCAATATCAGTGTTGAACAAAGAAATAAGAGACACATCTTTTGCAAAAATCAAAGACATCCAACAATGGCTCATTTGGCCAATGAATATTTGGGTTTCCCAGACCCACGATTGTTGGGGACAGTGACGGTCTGACCTCAACTGCTCGGAGGAGAAAAATCAGCACACAGGAGCCTTTGGGGCTGAGGAGCCCAGGCTGTGCCCTCAGGAGTGAGCCTGACATGTCCCAGGGCTCTGCAATGCCATGTCCCAGGGACTCCTGCACACCTGATGATTTAAACCGGGATGGGAAGGGGACAGGTGCAGGGTGAAGGGACTGGGCAGGTCCAGCAGTGGTTCTGGGATCTGTGTCCAACACACACACTGTGCTGCTCTGGGTGACAGTGATGGAAGTCTTTGTGCCAGCTGGCTCCAAAGGCTTCTGCTGACTCCAAATCCCCTTCCCTATCCAGCTGCCTCATGCAGAGCCAACAGCCATGAAGAGAGAAGGAGAGGGATTGTGCACTGAGCACCAGCTGGTGTAAATGAACATCCCAGCTACAAAAACTCTAAGAGTGAGTGCTCATATCTGCCAAGAAATGATTTGGTGTGGAGCTGCTAACCTGATGAGGGCAACCTGAAATCCCTTTTCTGCTCTGATGAAACAGAATTCTTAAAGTCTTAAAGCACAAGACACAAGGAAAAAGACGGTGTTATCCCTGCAGAACTCCAGAGGGAGAGCTAAGCATCTTGGAAATAAAAGCCTACCACTAATGACGCCCTCCAGACTGCTAATGACTGCACAGAACAGCACCAGGAGCACACAACCCACAGAGCCACCCCAAGGGGAGCAGGTGACAGCCACAGTCAGTCTAACACAATCACCAGCATAAACTAACTCTCTAATTTCACCAGCCTGAAGCGTCTGGGAGCGAGTTTGATCCTCTGTAGATGTAAGAGCAGCAGGTAGGAAAGGCTTCCTGGTTAGAGCTGCTTCACTGGTAGCCAGGCCCAGAAGTCCCAGAGACAAAACACTCGTCCTGTCCTTGGGATTAAGGACACATTGTGACACAGACACTTCCAAACACGAGCGGGGCTGCATCAGACCCAGCAGAGAGGGAAAAGCACTTTCTGAATAAAATCCCTAAATGTGCTTTAAAGAAACATAATCAGAGTAATGATCTGTATCACTGCACTTCAACTTGCTCCATGAGGGTTTGGGGATTATTGTTCTTTTAGACAAACACACTACCCCCCCTTAGTCCCCTTCATGAGGAACTGGGACCCCTGAGCTGAGTCCATGCCTCTGAGGGAACTTCCAGCTACTCTGTGTCCTGCTCCAGAGACTGGATAAAGCAAGGAGTTGTTTTTTTTTGCTTGGGACAGTACAGGAAGAGCCACAAAGCAGGCAGACCTCAGCCCTGCCCTCAGACCCACACTGTCCACCACAGGGATGTGGCTGATGGCAGCACAGAGCCTTGGCAAGGACCATCCATCCCTTCAGTCTCCTCCCTCCCAGGCCACGCACAAAGAGGACACCAACAGCTGTAACACACTCATTCCCACACAAATGCACCTGTCTGCATCCCTCCCAAGGTTAAAATCCACGCTGAGCTGGCCAAGGCAGAGCACTTCACTGAAACTGCTTCAGAAAACCCACGAAATGGCTCCACACGTTGGTTTCACCTGGGAAGGGTTTTGCTCAGCAGCTCACTGGAATGTCCTCCCTGGGCTCCAGGATGCTCTGCACTGTCTGTGCTGACAGACCCAACGCAAAGCATGCATCAATACTCCTTCATAATGAAAAGGAAATCACACAAGACATCACAGGGCCCTTAGGACAAAGTCTGATTATGCAGCACTCCATTATTAGACCCATTTTTCATGGGAAAGGTATTTCAGGCCTATCTGCATCTGGATAACGATCTCAAGGATTCCTGGAGCATCATCCAGGCAAAGATCCCAAAATACACTAGAAATACTTGTTTGCTAAACCCCACAGCCACCTCATGAACAAAGCAGGCAGGGCAGGTGAGGGTCTGCATACTAAATTTTATCACAACCTGTGTTAAGACTGCCTGACCAGGGATATCTGAAGTCTGAGTTAGACAAAACCCAGACCTCAGGGTGCTCAGAAACATTGGAATGATGCCTAAAAGTCTAGCCTGTTTCCTGATTTTGGGCATGGAGCAGCATCACCTAAGAACAGCCTGCTGCAGGCTGATGGTATGTGGTGGAGAGATATGACCTAAAAGAGGATTCAGAGCACTCAGGGTGTGAGCAACACCCAGGAAAGGACCATCTTGCCCTGTCCCTCTGAATTTCAGACAGAGCTGTAGCAGGTACAGTGCAGCTACTGCTGAGAGCAGCTGGCATGAACCTGCACTTGGGAGTTCAAATTCGAGCCCCTATGAAACAACTGCCCAAAATAAAAGGTCTCCCTGAAAATCTGGATTTCTAGGGCTTTTATTTGTTTGTTCAGTACAATGTATTTGAACTGAGCTGGTAATAGTAGCTGTGGTTCAGTAGGTGGGGCTGGAGAAAGGGGTAGATTTTGGGGAGGGTCTCTGCTGCTGGGCCAGCTGGCTCCTGTCTGTGTGCTCCTATCTGGCTCTCCACAGTTCTGCTGCTCCCTGCTCCATCATTACTCTATAAATCCCACTGGCTATTCCAAGACTACACAGGCTTTTGCTTTCATTCAGAGGCAAATGCCTGGGAACTGTCTAATTACAACTTCACTTCCTAACAGGCAGTGAAGACCCAGAGGGGCCAGAGACAGAAGTGCTAGAAAGAGATATTGTGCTTCACTCCTTTCCAAAAAGGTGCTTTTCACTGCACTCCCCCTCTGGAAACCTTGGAGCTCCAGCAGGTTAATACCAACTTGCTAAAAAGCTCATTTAAAAATTATGCATATAAAACTTTGCAGTGCATTGACACACTCTCCCATTTACTGAGGCCGAATTTTACTTGATTAAAACCAGAATCCCACTCCCATTCAAGGGCAAAAGCAATCCATGTGGTGCTACTGCAGAGCCT